CATTGCAAGGTATGTGCAGGCTGCTGCTTGCCAGCCTGGTTTCTGACTGATCACCTCTCCCTGGTAACCTGGGCATGTGCAGAATTGGAGTACAGGGCTCAAACTGCCATTATTTCATCATGAGGCTTCACAGAAGCCTGGAGACTTTTTTTTTTGAAAAGAGGATTAGATTGGATGATTTTTAGGGTACCTTTCAGCTTTAAAACTTTGGCGTTTTTTCCGGTAATGTCATTACTTGGTTATGATATATTCTTTCTGGATAGTAAAGCAGATTATAGTCCTATTTTACAGGTATGAACAAGAATGACAAGAGGATTCAAAGTACCTAAGGTTTTTTAGTGATTTAGCTGAAACTAAAAATGATCATAGAGTATCCTGATTCCCATCCAGTTTTCTGTTAGTTAGATCAATCAGATACTTGGAGTAATTACTCCTAGTGGTTTAGAACAACTTTTCTGTTTTCTTTTTCTTTTTTCTTTCTTTCGTTTCTTTTTGCGGGGGGTGAGGAAGATTGGCCCTGAGCTAACATCTATTGCCAATCTTCCTCTTTTTGCTTGAGGAAGATTGTTGCTGAGCTAACATCTGTGCCGATCTTCCTCTATTTTGTATGTGGGATGCTGCCACAGCATGGCTTGATGAGTGGTGTGTAGGTCTGTACCTGGGATCCAAACCCACGAACCCCAGGCTGCTGAAGCAGACCACGCTGCCACTGGGCCGGCTCCTAGAACGACGTTTTAGCTTAAAACTTCCCATTATATTTTTCACTAATATAGACTGAAGAAAGTTGTCAGATTTGGTGTAGAACTAAAAAAGGAATTCAATTATTAATTGTTGTTACTCCCTTGCTTTCTGTTAGCTCTTATTGGTTGCATTTATTATATTATGCTTTTTCTATGTGATACAAGGTCCATCAATAGACAACTTTCTTTAAATGCTGAGGCATAGTATATTAGAAATATTACATATACAACTCTGACCACCAGGAAAGTGACGTACAGGATTTCATAATTGGTTTCATAATTGTTGGCTATAGGAGAGGCAAGAGCATACAAAGATTAGAAGTAAACCCTATATATGTAGTAGTCGAATGAGTGTGTTCCCAGAAGCCTGCCCAAGTCGTTAGGGAGGAACCCTCCTCCGAGAGCTGGCCAGCAGGCAGCAGCAGTCAGCTGCTCTCAGGTGATAGATGCCTCAGTACGTGTGGGTGTCGGTGGGGATGAGGGGGTTGGGAGCGAGAAAGATAAGTGAATATGTGAAATCACCACAAGTAGTAGCACGAAGATAAAAATAGTAAAACAATCTTGGAAAGTGAGGAAAAAGAGCAGTCAGATGCAGGAATCCGGAAAGTGCTTCAGAGTCATGAGGGAGGCCAAAGGCAGCAGAACACCAGAGCGAAAATGGAAGCCTAAGAAGACCTGGACAACCAGGTCTGTAAAGGTTGGGTGTTCACACCGCGCAATGATGGGCTTCTAAACACTTCCGAGGACATTATTTCACGTGATCTTCACAATAAACCTAACAGTGGATGTAGCAAATGATTATTCCTCTTTTTGACTCTTAAGAAAACAAAATTTGGGAGGTTACTCGTTTTGAGGTCACACAGTTCTGAGTAGCTTTGCTAATAAGCACCTGTATTACTCAACACATGACTTCTTTTGCCTGAATTTCCTCATTTATAAAATTTGAATAATAGTTGTTACTTAACTCATAGGGTGAGAAATAATGCTTTATAAAACACTTAGCTTGGTGCATGGCACATGGTAAATACTAGTAAATGCTGGATGTTGCTATTATTTCTACTATGAGATCTGCATGTTTGAATAACTTGACGTTCAGCAAACGTTATTTTCTATACTATATTGCATCTTTTAGAATGTAAGTGGGCTGGTTATGCATGTGTATTTTTCCACATGTGTGTATTTCCAAAATGATTTTAAGGTATGTTAAGTTTGTCTTTACTCAACACATTTGCCAAGTGTTGGGAGATTCTACATCTCTTGTGATATTTCTTTTTGTTTTTGATCTGAAATCACGTTTTACCTTTTGTGCAATCAATTTACATACTTTCATATGTTTCTACTGTTTAAGAAGGTAGAAAATGGTTCAGAAAATAGCCATGATATCTAGAACTGTTATATTATTTATATATTTCATATATGTTTTACGTTTTCTTTTACCTTGTTACCTCTACTGACAGAGCTGCTTTTAATATTTGCATTTTTGTAAATGCACCTTCAGCAGATGTGCAGTCACATCTAATATAATAAATCTATTTTTCCGTAATCTTTGTGTAGTTAGTTTTCTGGTCCGGAAAATGTGATTTTAAAAAATTACCTATGACTGCAAGGGGTATTTCTAACTATTTTGGCTGTAGAGCAGAAATTCAATTCTTCCCTCAGACTCCCATTACAGTAAATCCTTGGCATTTCCTGTGTTTGCCACTCTGATTTCTTGATGTTTACAGAAATTATTATAAGGTCTTAAATAACTTCGTTGTGTGTTAGAATAGCAGATAATCATTCTTTTTATCCAGACTTATAATTCTTGAACATTGAAACCATTGAGCAGAAAGTATTTTGTGTATGTCCAGGATATATAGCTTTTTTTCAAACAAAAATACTAAATGGATACACATTTCCAAAACAAGTCTGCTTTTGAGTCAATGTCACACTTAACTGGCCCTTGATTTTCCTGTGTTCCCTCTTACCTTGGAGGATGTAGTCTCCAGCCTTAACTGTTTACCTAGTGATTGTTTTTTTCAGACATCTGAATCAAAACCCTGTAATAACTCCTAGTGATGCTCCCTGGTACTCAGCATTTTGTTCTAGAGAGGTCACAAGTGGTTCAGGTTGGCTGGCCTTTGTCAGAATTATCTTGAATGCATTGTTTTTGTTATCTCTTCTTGTAGGTTTTCCTAATACAGAATTCTGGTATTGCCCCTGCTTCTTGACAAGGGAAAGCTACATGTGGTTTTTCCAGGTCCTTTTATTAGACTTGCTGAAATTTCTTCAATCCAAAGAAGAAAATTTATCAATGTTTAGACTGTGTGCATGTGTGTCTTAGTACATAAGGGTGTGTGACTTCTTGTGTAAGGAAAAAGTATGGGCTTCAGAGTCAGATTTAGGTTCAGATTATGGGCTAGTTCTTAGACGTGTGACCTTTGGACATTATTTAACTTTCTTACTGTCAGCTTCATCATCTATATAGAGGATTAATGGTAACTATCTCATAGAATTGTTCTGATTTATATTTAAAAGAATTTCTAACACATAGGGGATGATCGGAAATGGTACCCTCTCCTAGGGAATAGGTTTTGGTTAGTGAAGAAAATGGCTTATTTATTTAGAAATAGTGAGCAAAATCCATCCTACCCAAGTACATGTTATTTATTATTCTTTCAAACCAATATACTTTGAAAAAGCTATAAATGGGTTGTGCAAATGGTGGTATTATTTTCTTTGGACTCAAGTGTTGCAATGTACTGGTGAACTTTGCTATGTTGATGTTAGTTGGCAGCTGAGTTAGTTGCCAAATGGATTTTAGTGGTTTGATATTCATCTTACTCGAGGCTAAAAGACCTGAAATGGTTCTCTAGCCACTAGTTCAAGATGAAAGCATCTCAGGAGGTTTTTACACAGAGAGGACATAGGAGATATTTGCTTAGCTTTTATGAGAGTTGCTTGCTATGATATTCTTTCCCCGGGCATTTGTACACTTTTTTTGGGGAATTCAAGTAGTATTAAGTAGTGCCTCATGATCGTCTGAGAATTCCAATGTAAAGTGGCACAGAGTCCTAGAGTTATATAATTGATACTTATAATTTTTACTTATGTGTAGTTATGTGAAAAGAACTAAGATACGGTCTTGCAATCAGTTTGATCTTTTTTGTGGAATTGCTTTAGCTACATGTACTAGTTAGTTCTGGATTTTTTATTGTTATTTCAAGTGTCTGCTTCCCCTAGATAAACTAAAACATCAGGAATGTTGGAATTAATGTAATATTCTTTCTTTTTTTTAACTACTAATTATTTTTCTTAATGGAATACTACTACTGTTGGAGGAAGTTTTCTGCCTTAGCTCCACTTGTTATTTTTCACTGCTTTCTCTTTAATTGAAGAAAGCAAATCTAAGGATAGTATCCATGTATTTGTGTCTACTCTCAATTGATATGGCAGCAATATAAACAGAAACAGGAATAATATCATGTTTGTACGTTTAGTTTTAAATAATCATATTAGTAATTGCTGGGCATATCGCATAAATGTCTTCTATTTTCAGATCACTAGGAAAATCTTAGTATTTCCCCCTCTTCTGTTACGGTCTAGAGATATCTGAATTTTCAGTTGCGTTAAGCAAAAAAAGATGAGTAAACGATGAATCAAAATTTGAGGCATGTTGAATTCATGTTTTACTATTTTATGGAGAAAAATCACTTTTTATTGTTTGTTATTGTGTACCATGTGAAGATGATTATGGATCTTTCTGGACCAAGGTACTAAGATTATATTTGGCACAGTTTTGTATACTAGCACAAGGCCTGTGTCTTTTCTAAATAAGGAAAATATTTTAATTTAAAATACCACACGTAAGTCAGATGTACTTACTTTCCTCTTGGTACATCCATGTCCTAAAGCTCTCAGGAGAAAATGGTTTAAAAAATTGTTTTCATGTCTAGATTAAGTGAAATCACTTGTCATAATGAGTTGCAAAATGGAGACCTTCATTCTGAAGCTGCCTGTTTCTCATTTGGATCTGACATATTAAAAAGCATATAATTAATGGTTGACATTAGTAATTAACATTAACTTTATGGTGCTTAATATGCCATCATTCATCCATCAAATAACCAGGAATGCATAATGTCTTAGCATAAAGGTTTTAATTATATAAAACGCTCCTTGAGTTTTCATATGATATAAATATTAAAAGCCCCAAATGTATTTAAAGGATATTTTTGTAAATGTTTGCTGGGTGTTAGCTATGTTTTTATTTCTTTTTAGGAGTATGCATCAACAGTTGTGTCAGGAACTTCAAAAGGAGAATATGGACTTAATTGCGCAGTCTTCATTATCGGCTAAAGAGCGCCACCTTGCTGCAGTTGCCAGTGCGCTGTGGAAACATTTCTTTTCATTTTTGAAGAGTCAGAGAATGTCACAGATAGTGCCTCTCTCACAACTTGCAGATGCAGCTGCAGGTCAGCGTTGTTAATTTGCTAATTAGTTTCTCATTTTGCGGACGCTGTCAGTTTTTTCTTCTCTTTGCTTGGTAGCAAGTTCTTATTTTATTACGATGGAATAAATATTTTGACAACCAGAAAGATGAAAAGAATTACATATTTTTAAATTAGGATCCTTTGGCTTGTTTGTTATTTTCCTCTTAGTAAAGGTAAAAATTAAGTGATTATTTGCTACAAATAATAGATAATTTTCAATCTTAAAAATATTGAATGTACGTAAACTTTTCTTATGCATGCAATATTTGGAAAGTAAAGTAGCATTTGATTTCTTCTAGTTCAAGTAGTTTATTTTCAGGTTGTGTGTGTAGATGTCTAGGTATAAGATGAAGTTACTTGTATAAAGAGCAAAAGAATATAGCATGAATTCCACTTCAACACCAAGCGGATAAGATCAGAATGACATCGAATATATAGAATGTTATTGTTCTGAATTCTACTAGATTCTATTTTAGGTTGTAATTTTGACTTAATTTGATTATTATCCTAAGGACATGTTTTTAGGCTTTAAGGGGCTCTGAATCACATGACATTATAGGCAAGAATTTGAATATATGTGCATATATGCAGTTTTCTAAGAAGAGATCATTATCTTTCTCAAAGGGGTATTTTTTCTGAAATATATTAAGAAGTACTGGAATAGACAGAGATGAATACAGTGACTGCAAGTATTTAAATGCAATTCATATGAAGGTATTTAATATATTTAAATGTAATGCTTTTAAAAACTTAAGATCTGAACCAAGGTTTATTTTACCCTGATGTGAATGAGGAAAACTGAGCTGAAAGCACTACATAAAAGACTGAATGATATAAATTTTAAAAGATCTTTAATTCTAGTGGCACATCCATAATTAAAACTTTACAATGATAGGTTGAAGAATTGTGACAGGGCAACAGTTTTCCAACAACTGTAATGTATGTGGAAATAAATATTGATATTCAATCATTTTAACCAAAGCAGTCATTACTAGCCAATAGGACTTATCTTTCTTTCATTCATGATCCCAACTTCCAGTTGGAGAACACAAATGATGCCACGCAGGTTTAGTTAGTTCTGTCCTAGGTGCTGAAAATAAATGGTATATAAATATAAAGCAAAATATGTGTGGGTTTTGGTTTGTTTTGAAATAAAGACTTGATACGTTAGAAGAGAAAAATTTCCCGAATTAAGGAAAACAGTCATTGAGGGGCTGGCCTGGTGGTGTAGTGGTTAAGTTCGCGTGCTCCACTTCGGTGGGCTGGAGTTCATGGGTTTGGATCCCAGGTGCAGACCTACACACCCACTCATCAAGCCATGCTGTGGTGGCATCCCTAATGCAAAATAGAGGAAGATTGGCATAGACGTTAGCTCAGCGACAATCTTCCTCAAGCAAAAAGAGGATTGGCAAGGGATGTTAGCTCAGGGCCAATCTTCCTCACCAAAAAAACAAACAAAACAAAAAAAGAGTCATTGAGTACCCACTTTTATTGCCAGTGGGGAAAAAGGGCTGTAGTTCCTTTTCTTGTATATAAGCTCCGTGTTCTCGTGTAGCTTATAGTCTAGTGAGGGACAGAACAATAAATAAATAAGTAAAACGTGTAATATGAGGGCCAGCCCTGTGGCCAAGTGGTTAAGTTTGCACTCTCTGCTTTGGTGGCCCAGGGTTTTGCCAGTTCAGATCCTGGGTGTGAACATGGCACCGCTCATCAAACCATGCTGAGGCAGCATCCCACCTAGCACAACCAGAGGCACTCACAACCAGAATATACAACTGTGTACTGGGGGGCTTTGATGAGAAGAAGAAGATGAAGAAAAAAAAATAGGTTGGCAACAGATGTTAGTTGAGGTGCCAGTCTTTGAAAAGAAAATGTGTGATATGTTATATGGTAATAAGTGCTGTGGAGCAAAATAAAACTAGAAAAGAGGATAAGGATAGGGAGGGCCAGAGGCAGGTTGTAATTTTAAAGAGAGTGGTCAGGAAGGCTTGAGTAAGTACCATTTGAGCAAAGACCTGAAGGAGGTGACAGACCGGTGCTGTGCAGAAGTCCAGAGGCAAGAGCATGTCTGGTGTGTTTGAGGACCTATAGAGAAGCCGTGAAAGCTCGTGTGCTGTGAGAAGGGGGGAGAGTAGTCAGAGATGTGATCAAGAGGTAATGGAGAGCTAGTTTGTGTTCTGCCTCGTATGCAGTTGTAAAGACTTGCTTTTACTCTGAGGTTGAAGCTGCTGGAAAGTTTTGAGCAGAGGAGTGATATGGTCCTTCTGGCTGCTAGACTGAGAACAGATTATAGAGAGGCAAGGGGAGAAGCAGGAAGGCCGGTTAGAGAACTATTGCAGCAACTCAGAGGTGAGCAGCCTGGGCTCAAGTGGTAGAAGTAGAGGTGGTGATAAGTGTCTGACTTCCAGTCGGAAGGTAGAGAAAGTATTTTGAAAGTAGAGCTGACAAAATTTTCTAAATGAGTACAATATGGTAAGCAAAATAGATCGAAAGACAATCCTCCATTGGCTGAGACGAGGAAGATTGTGGTAGGAGCAGATTTTATGAGGGAAGACTAAGATTTTGATATTGGACATATTTTTTTAGACATCCATTAAAATCCAAGTAGAGATGTTAAGTAGGCACTTGGATAATGAGCCTAGGGTTCAGGGAAGAGGTCCAAACTGGAGATTTAAATTTGGAAACTGTTTATGTATAAATAGTCTTTAAAGCTCTAAACTCTGGGCGAGATCACCAAGAGAGCAAGTATTGGTGAAAAGAAAAGTCTGAGGACTGGGCCCTCGAATATTCCCATGTTCAGATTTGTAAGATAAAGAGGAACCAAGAAAGGAGACCAAAGGAATGCTGGTGACCTAGGAGAAGAACCAAGAGTGTGATGCCCTGGAAAACGAACGACAGAGCATTTCAAGGAAGGGGAAGTGACGAACAGCTCAATGCTGTTAATGGGTCACTTGAGATGAGGCCTGAGAATTGGTCATTGGATTTAGCAGGAGGGACCACTAGTGACCTTGAAGAGGAATTTTGGTGTAGTGGTAGAGGCATAGGCCTGACTGAAGATGATTCGAGAGAAAATGTGAGAAGAGGAATTGCAGATGGCAAATATGGGTAAATCTTTTTGAGTATCACTCTTTATGAGAAGTAGAAAAATGGGAATGTTAGGTAGAGGAGGAAGTGAGATCAAAGATTTTTTTAAAAATGTGAGAGAAATTTCAAACATGTTTGTAATGCTGACAAGAATGTTCTGGAGTGAGGGAGAACTTGATGATCCAAGAGAGTCTCTGTTTTATGTTTTAATGCCCAAGAGAAATGGGATCCCATAGAGATCTTGGCCTCAGATCATCTCTAGTAGCAGAAGGGAAGGCAGAGTAAATGGCCCCAGATGAAGGCCTCTGGGTAGATGTGGTGGGAGCTTGTGGTAGTTCTCTTCTGATGTTCTCATTTCTCTGTGAAGTAGTAAGATCATTAGTTGAAGGTGAGGATGAGGAAGAGGTACTGGCTGATGATGGAGAGAGGAGAGAAGGTATGCAATAATCTTCTAGGAGATTTTAAGACTGAGCGGACTGGAGAAATGTAGTAGGAAATACTGTCCAGCTCTAAGGGCCCACTTAAAGTTTGTAGTCACAAATTTAAAGTGACATCAGTCAGCATTGTTGCTCACCAGCGTTTATACTACTGCAGGTGCATGTGGAGAAGAGAATAGGGTTAGAATTCAACAGATGCTGGGTTTTTTTTCCAGGCAAGTACAATGAATCAAGTAAGAAGCAAGAGAGTTGATATTATACCCAAATGAGTGTAATAATGGACCATGAAATCAAGTTGACTAAAAAGGGAAAGAAAGGCACTAAGGCAGTTCGGAACAGGGAAAAAGTTATAGGATCAAAGAATTATAGGTCCTGGTGGAATCAAAGAACTGTTGGAATTGGGGGCCTAGAGGAGGAGAGTTGGAAGGCTGGTTTGGTGCCAGAAAGTGGTTTTCTTGAAGTTGAAATTATAGAGAGATTGTACTTATTGGCAATGCCAAGATCTCTCAGTATCCCCATGGGAGTGAATGGCTGAAGCAGAGTGGAGGATAGATTCATTGGGGGAGAGGAGTTCAAGAAACTGAGAGGTCAGGATATTGGAAGAAACATCATCAAGCATATGAGAGGAGTGCTGTTAGAGAGAATGATAGTAGCTACAATCTTCAAGGAATGAGGGGAGGTGAAGTAGGAAACAGTAGGCGAATGCACCAAGGAGAGTTAGTGGCTGGTGTGATCTGATGACGTGAGATGCAAAGCTAGAGCTTTTTGGGAGGAGGAAGGGAGCATCTTCTAGAAAAGCAATGTGGACCAAGGAGTAAACCTACCTTATCTGCAAGTCAAGCGGTATCAGAGGAGTGGGAGAATAAACAGCCACCATTGGAGAGAGCTGTGTAGGAGGTAGTGCTTAATAAGCAATTTACTGACAAACATAAATTAATATGGTAAAAATTAAATTGGGGGATTCCCAGTAAATCATAAAATAAAGTATATTTGTTTAACATGGTTAACTAAGGAATTCCGGTTCCCAACCTTAGTGTATTCTGAAGGAGGTGGAGTGTCAGTAATTGTTTGTAGCAGATCATTGCTTAATAGAAGAGAATGTCCAGTGTCTAAGGTAAAAGGATCTTGTCATCTGTGGTCGGTGGCAAATAAATTAGCTTGATTGGAGAAGAGTAGATGCTAGAAATATTTTTTTGAATGGGTTTTTTGAATGAGATGAAGGAGGCACATTTAGCAGACACATCAGGCTTAGAATTTGCAGTTTGAGGGAGCCATTATAGATTCGTAATGATAATGCTGAGATAGATTGTTCTAGACCCTTTCGTGGTGATCTAGATGATCACTAAAGAAATTTCTCTGACAACATGAATTTAGTTCAGTTTTAGGTTTCTGTTAGTTCTGCATTTCTAAATGTGACATTTTATTATTTAGTGTTGAATGTTTTTTTCTCAATATTGATGTAATTTGGGGAGGGGAAAGAGTTTTAAAATATTTCTTACCATACATTTCTCTCATTTTAAATCTAGATTTTACTTTGTTAGCAATGGACATGCCCAGCACAGCTCCATGCGATCTTCAGCCTCAGCCAGTTACATCAATGATACAACTTTTTGGTTGGGATGATATCATCTGGCCCCAAGTTGTAGCAAGATATTTAAGTCATTTCCTACAAAATAGGTAAGTGGTTTTACTTCAGGTATGCACAGTAATGTAAATGGTAGATCAGTACACTAGGAAAGTAAGAATTTTCACAAATAAAAACTGATCTTGGGGCCGGCCCGGTGGCACAGCAGTTAAGTTCGCACGTTCTGCTTCTCAGCAGCCCAGGGTTCACTGGTTCGGATCCCGGGTGCGGACGTGGCACTGCTTGGCAAAAGCCATGCTGGGGTAGGCATCCCAAGTATGAAGAAGAAGAAGATGGGCATGGATGTTTGCTCAGGGCCAGTCTTCCTCAGCAAAAAGAGGAGGATTGGCAGGAGTTAACTCAGGGCTAATCTTCCTCAAAGGAAAAAAAAAACTGCTCTTTACTACATGTATGCTCACTTTGGTAGTTTTTTGCTTTTGGACATGTCAGCACTTTGATGGGAGTAATAGTACGAAAGCTCATTTATGTTTCGTGGCCTGCTTTTTTAAAAAAATGCTGATGCTTATGCCCTTTTTCAAAGTTGTTTTTGTAGGACTACCTTATTCTCATCCTGAAATGACCTTTCTACACTCAGCACTGTGAAAGAAATTATACAGTTAATATTTCTGAATCTGTAAGACACTGGTATATTATTGTCATTTTAGATTTAATGATAGCTTTCCTTTTCACAGCTAGGTTTTTATGGGGTTTTTAAATTTTTATTTATTTTTTTATTACTTTTTGGTGAGGAAGATTGGCCCTGAACTAATAACATCTGTTGCCAGTCTTTCTCTTTTTGCTTGAGGAAGATTGTTGCTGAGCTAACATCTGTGCCAATCTTCCTCTGCTTTATATGTGAGATGCCACCAAGGTATAACTTGATGAATGGTGGGTAGGTCTGAGGATCTGAGCTTGTGAACCCCTGGCCACCAAAGCGGAGCTTGCAAACTTAACCACTATGCCACCGGGCCAGCCCACAGCTAGACTTCTAAAGATTTGACTCTTGTGCGTTCATGAACAAGACATTTCACCACCGTGAACACTGGTTTCCTTATTTATAAGAATCTCCTGCCTCTTTACATAGGAGATCTGAAGAAGCCCAAGAGAAAGAATATAACATAAAGTTAAAATAGAAAGAGTGTACAGTAAAAGGAAGATTTGAATAAGAATATCAAATGGAGGAAAGTAAAATAAATACACAAATCTAAGAGACCAATGTGGTTCTTGTCCAGGCTGCCAGTGGGTGGAAATGAGGAGTGAGCAGTCAGTAAGGTAGTCTTCTCATAAGGAAGGTCATTAACCAGAGTCATTAAGTCATATCTCATTGGCTTTCAGTTGTAAAGTCAGGGTACAATTTGATTACTTTTAAGGTCCCTTCTAGCTTGAGAATTCTGTAATAACAAACATTTATATTATTTGTTAAGCAGTTTTGCCAAAATTATCTGAAATAATTTTAGTTTTTAAAATCATATTGGTGTATTAGTAACAGTTGAAGAAACTGAAATGCAAAGATGTCAGAGCTTTGGGAAGGTTGTACGGGTAATAAATGACCAATTTGAGTTCTTCTGTATTGTGTATTCTTTTCATGACAACTTATATTTAAAGTATTTCAAAATAGTAGTTTTAGAGTTATGATTTCTATGTATTTTTAAAATTTCTGACTTTACATAACACTTTATATAGTTCACTTAAGACCATCCTCATCCTCTCTACCCCCACTTATGAAATGATTCGAAATGAGACCTAGCCTTTGGCTTCACAGAAAGAATTGAAATAAAATAATCCTGTCAGATGTTATTTGGGAATTCTTTAATAACTGCGTGTGGGATGGGGCAGCAGGAAACGAGGGGATAGGAATGGGGTTGGTCAGGAGACCCACAGAGGAAGATATTTTGTCTTTAACATCTTTCTTACATATATGGTCATGACTGCTTCTGTTTATTTACTCTGAGGGCCACTGTTCTTTATTCTGCTCGCCACCTCCTTCATTATTATCTCACCAGCTAATTATAAGCTCCTTCCTTGCTTTTCCCGTTTTAACCATATTCTTCCTTACCTCTCTCCTTTGGCATGAGCCTACACATATGCCATCGGTGGAAAAAAGAAAATCAAAAATTAGAACATTACAAGTGAAAGCAAGAGTATTTATTTAAAATGTCCTTTTGTGTATATCTGTAGTATTCATCTTCAGCAATGCATGTCTGAGCTAGTGGGTTTGTCTTTAAAATAAGTGAGGCCAAGAGATGGGGAATGTTAGAGTGTTTTCATTTCTTAATCTCTATGCTCATGGAACATATTGCCAGAGTTTTGTTTTTATTTTTGTTTTTAACGTCCATCAACTTACTTTTACAGCATGTTGTGTGAAGCACTTTCTCATTCAGGCTGTGTGTCTTTTCAAGCCCTAACGGTGAGATCTTGGATCCGCTGCATTTTGCAAATGTATGTAAAAAACCTCTCTGTGCCTGATGATGTGTTCGTTGATTTAAGTCCTGAACAGGCAGTTGGTAAGTATTGCAGGTATTTTGCTTTCTGGATGGCTAAACATGTTTAAAATTTCCTGTTTTGTTGCATAAATTAATATAAAAGACACAAAACGTATTTGTAATTAGGTATGACTATAAGCAAATTTATTTCCTTTTGCAGCCTGTTTCTTTTCCTTGATATTTTCCTGTTACTATATATGACAAATTTCTCTTCTATAAAGATAAAAGAACTTGTTTCCTTGGAAGCCAGGAACGAAAACTTGCTCTCAGGTGACAAGCCATTTTTTTACCTTGAAGAAACTGATCACAAAAAAAAGTGGAAATATGAAGTAAATAACCAGATATCACACTGTGAACACCCCAAAAAGAAAAATATCCAATTATGAATAATTCTCTCCCATTTTATATTAGATGTTTTTCCTTTCTTCTGCTTTACTATTAGTCACTGAGTGGTACTTGTACTTTTTTTTTTTTCAATATCTTGTACAGTTCTGGTTGTCTGTAGGCAATGCCATTTCTTAGTGCTTATGGTCATTTATAAATCACACAAAGACTAGAGTGAAAAAATGCTCCAAATTTACCTGGATATCTTATTACATCCATTGGCTTTACATGAATAACTTTTGGGCTAGGACACTCACAAGTACATGTTTGTTTTTAAGTAAAACCTTTCCTTACTGAGAGAAACTTAATTCAAAGTTTTTAATTATGTGGAAATTTAAATTTTAAAAGAAAGCATGTTGTAAGTGAAGAATGCTACATTCTCTGCTCTCTCATCTGTATATATATAAAATATAGATTTATATAATGCATGTATACTATTACTATATTATTTTATCTTAACAGAAAAAGAGTACATGGAACAGTTGGCTGAACTGACAAGGTTGCTGTTTAAACTCTCAGAAGTAAAGAATATTTTCTCAGAGGCACAAGTCGAATATTCACCCATCCCAGAAGACCCTAGAAAAGCACTTGTTCAATTCCTTGAGGTATTTTCATTTATTATATAATTGTATATAATTGTCCAAATCAGTTACAATTATTAAAAGTAAAGAATGATACGTGAAAACCTTACTCTAAGGCTGATCTAAATTGTAGGAATATCTTACTGCTTAAATTACCGGATAACAATATTCTTCGGGAGCTTAGGAACTATATTTCCTTGTATATGGTCCATAATAGTTCCAACATAATGTTTGCCTCCCTGTAGCAAGCACTGTAAATTTTACAGTAAAATTTTAGTGTATTCAGCATAAGCACCAACCACTTCATATCATAGTATGGTTGGTGCTTTAAAATCTGATCCATTCATTTTGTTTTGTCTCTATAATAAATAGTGCCATTCAACATTTTATTTTTAATTATTAATTTTGTAGACTCTATCTTAGGTGATAGTCTTTGCTTTGCAGCCTAGTTGAGGTTGTTAATGTGTTTGGATTAGTGTTTTTGTAAACTGTTCACAGTAAAAGTTGGCTTATTTTCCCACAGAGTGGTTGGTATTAACTGCAATGAAAATAATTACAACCCATAAGCTCTTTCCATAAGTGTGAATTCTTCATTCTTTTCCATTAAGTTAAAGCACAATTGTACGACCATTAGGGATGTCATATAAATCCTAAAAATATTTAGTAATAGTGTGTGCAGATGTAAAATACACGTTTCTGTTGAGCCTTTTATTTATTTGTTCATTAGATCTCAACCTGTAATTAATTAAACCCCTGTGCTAGCAACCATACTGGACCAGAAAGGGAGGTAGAAGTCATGCACTCCACCGATCATTTTCAAAGGCTCTCCTAATTTAATCCAGTCCAAATTAACTGTTCTTCATCACTCAGTAAATAATAGTTGTTTGCTGTATGCTAAATGGTATTATGCTAGGATTTCTTAGGAATTCAAAGAACCAAAAGAAGTAGTCCTTGATCTTAGAGAACTTTTACTTGTCTGAGAATACAAGATATACACAAAAGGTTAAAATAATAATAGAAGACGGTATATACTAAGTGTCACTTAGTTGATAGATCAATCAGTAGGTTAAGAATTCAGAGCATCTTGGTCTAAGAAGTTTGGGTTTTATCCTGTGACCAGTGTGAAGGCTTTATAAATTTTTAAGTAGGTCTGATTTGATCAAATGTCTTTAAAGAAAATTAGTAACAATGAAGTAGATTAAAGTTGAGAAGAACTATTGGCCAGAAACTAGTGAGATTTAGAAGGAATTGAAGATTGAATTATGGGATTTTTGAGTGAATATGAAATAAATACTGTGTTTAACTAGAAGAATGATGATACCTTAAGGAGAAATAGGAACATCATGGTTTGGAGTAGGGGAGAAGTAAGTGAAGAGTTCAGTTTTAAACTTGTTTAGTTTGAGATTGAGTCTCAGGGGTCCCCAAAATCATCCATAGGTGCTATGTTCACTAGGAGGACTCATGGAAATCAGACTCACAGAAATAGTTGTACTCAAAGCTCTGACTTATTACAGTGAAAGGATTCATAGCACTGTCAGCCAAGAGAAAAGGTACATGGGGTGAAGTCGGGATGAACCAGGCACAGCTTCCAAGAGTCCTCTCCCAAGTGTTACACTGGACATGCTTAATTTTTCCAGCAAGGAATTGTGACAACACCTGTGAAATGTTATCTACCAGGGAAACTCATTAGCGACTCAGTGCCCAGGGTTTTTAATGGGGGCTGGTCACATAGGCCCCCTTTACCTGGCACTTATAAAATTCCAGACTCCCAGAAGGGAAGTAGATATTCAGCATAAACTATACTGTTTGCACAGACAGTTTAGGCTCAGTGAGCCATCCTTATCTGGAAATGGTAGGGAAAATCTAAGGTTCTAAATACCAGCCAAGGGTTTGCCTTGCAAGTAGGACTTTTTAAGGACAGCAGTCTTGGACCTGCCCTGTTAACTCTTTTCTGCACAAAAATGATAATATGACATGTAAATAGTGATAGTCAAGGCACCGAGAAATACACATCTCGTAGTCTAGGGAGGCTAAGGCTAAACATAGAGAAATATTGAGATCTAGGGCATTGGTTCTGTAAAGTGTGTTTCATAGAGCTCTGGGGGTTATTGATACCTTTTCAGGAGTTCTACGAGCTCAACAGTATATTGACATTTGCACAAATAGTGCAAAAGGCTTTAGCATAAAACAACACCATGGCCCTAGATTATACCAGTAGTCATTTTAATTTTCACTGCCATACAATCACAGGGAAAAAAAAGCCAGTTTCATTTAAGAATATCTTTAATGAAGCAGTAAAATTATAAATGTTATTAAATTTTGACCCTTGAATACATGTCCTTTTAATGTTCTGTGAATGACAATGAGATGTGCACCTAAAGCACTATAGCTGCATCCCGAAGCAAGATTGTGTCTAAATAAAAGGCATTTGTGTGATCATTTGAGTTGCAAGCTGAACTGACTGCTTTTATCTTGAAAGAACAACTGACAAGGTATGGCTATTCAGACTGGGATATGTGGCAGACGTTTTCTCAAAAATGAATGAAATGAGCCTATCACTTCAAAGAACACAGTTGACAGCCTTTGTTGCCAATAACTTAATTTGAGCTTTTAAGAAAATTAGAATTTTGGAAAACTTGTGTTTCCCATCATGAGCTTAGGAGTTTCTTGATACTTAAAGACTTTTCTGATGACATTGGTGGTGGTATTAATGAATATGATTTTTTTAATATGGATAATGAAATCTGTCAACATCGGGAAGCTGTATAACTCAGTGAACCAAAATTTTCCAAATGACCAGTACAGGCTTTTTCAAAAGCACACATGGGTATAAAACATCCATTCGAAGAACAAGTTAGACCAATGGCTTTTATTGTAGCAGAGTCAAGATGTTTGTTGACATGGATTCCATATAACAACTAACCTTTAAGAAATACCACTTGTCATATTTTGGTGTAATATCAAAGAGGAATTCCCACAGTTATCTGAAAAATCTATTAAAATACTTCTTCCTCTTCTAGCTACATATATTTGTATAGACTGAATTGTTTTCATCTGCAACATTTTGCAACAGATTGTATGCAGAGGCAGATATGAGAATCCAGCTATCTTCTGTTAAGCCAGACATTAAAGAGATTTGTAGAAATGTAAAAAAAAATGCCACTTCTTCCTACATTTTTTTTGTTTTGGAAAATAAGTTATTTTTCACTTAAAATATGTTACTTATGTTAACATAACGTTTATTATTTTTAAATGAACTAATAAATAATCTTAATTTTTTTCTTTTAATTTCTAATATGGTAAATATTAATAGATAAAACCCAAATAATAATAAACTCTTAAGATTCTCAATTTTTAAGTGTATAAAAGGGAAATTAAACCAAAAAGTTTGAGGGGCTGGCCAGGTGGCATAGCGGTTAAGTGCACAGTGGTCCAGGGTTAGCCGGTTTGGATCCCAGGTACGGACATGGCACCACTTGCCAAGCCAGGCTGTGGTAGGCGTCCCACATATAAAGTAGAGGAAGATGGGTACTGATGTTAGCTCAGGGCCGGTCTTCCTCAGCAAAAAGAGGAGGATTGGCAACAGATGTTAGCTCAGGACTAATCTTCCTCAAAAAAAAGTTTGTGAACTCTGGTCTAGAGAAAGAAGTGTAGAGAAGAGCAGAGGGCTGAACTGAAAAGAGGGTTCATTAAGCCTCTCTCTTGCTCTCATCTGTCCACCTCACAGTCAGTCACTCAAGTTCTCTCAGTTCTTTATCCTTTCCTCCATTCCACATTTTATTATCAACATGGCTAACTTTAAGATCACCTTGGACAACTTATCTTAAGCCCTCATTTCAAAGCTTCTCCGATAGTCTTTCAAGTGACCTTCAGTCCTGCTTTACTTCATGCCCCCACTCCCGTGACTAACTGAGCCCTGGCGTCCCTTGGAGCATCTGAAAGCTCTTTGACTGTCACCACCTGCCTCCAGCTCTCGGAGGGCCCTCATCATGACCTTCTCCTCCTTTTTCTGTAAGTGCATCATCTTCTCAAGGGCTCACTTCCTTCCCTATCCACCTAATTAGACCCCTGGGGGCCTCACTTCAACTACTCTCACCAACACCCTCACAATCTTCCACCCTTTCTCTTTCAGTCATACCTACAAACCCTCTCAACCTTGGATGGGAGCAACCACTTGCTTTCTTTCCTTTGTCTTATCTGCTGAGAGCTGCAGGAGAAAAATCATATAACTATGCATATTGGTGCTGTTTATGCCCAATTTAGGTCACTGAAATACACTTTAAGTTTCCAGTAATGGCTTGAAAACTCTACTGCTCTTCTCAAACTTCTAACCCATCTCTAGCCAGTCTTCTCTTGATTCTTTTTGTGACTTCTTGCCTTTTGTTTATTCTCACTTTTCCTCAACTTACTTTTTCATTTATTTCCCTCTTCACTGTACTTTTCTTACTGCCTTAGTTCAAATTTCTCTCTATTGCTCCCCCATTTTGCCATCTGTACCCCTTGTGCCTCATCCTCTTTTCCTCTGAGAAAGTTAAGCTGGAATCTAATGGCTCACAAAGAAAATTCTGGAGGAAAAAGTCAATTCATCTCACAAAGCTGAACTGTAAAGAGATCTTATTTGTAAGAATTTGGTCACCTTCCTTGTAGGTCTTCCTTGTACAAATTTGGGGATTTGGAATTCCCAGTCATATACTAGGATGTTTGGAAGTCCTGAAGTGATTTGGTTACAAGCTTCTTTTCTATCAGTTCCACATATCTTTTTACTAATACTTTGCTGAGTCAGACCTTGTATGAATAATTACTGGTGAATTGATGTTTTATTCTTCTTTTAACCTTTATTTTAATTATAAAAGGCAAGACTTAATTCTTTTCACTTGCTTTTTAGTGCCTATGAACATTTATTGGAAAGTTAAGGATGAAGGCTTATGTAAGGGGCTGTCTGTGTATAGAGGGGGAGAGAAATTATCTTTATTTTTCAAAGTCTGTATTGTATAAAACTTGGAAAGCTAAATCCTGTTTTTTCTTATTTATAGGCTGTTGGTATAACTTATGGGAATCTGCAGAAACTTTCTGATAAATCTGCCATGGTCACAAAGTCCTTAGAATACCTTGGTGAAATATTAAAATATATAAAACCTTATTTGGGAAAAAAAGTTTCCAGTGCAGGGCTGCAACTGACTTATAGGATGATGGGTATGTATTTCTGACATTAAAACTTCCTTTGGTTGAGGCTATAGTATCATGATGGATAGGAATATACTAAGAATAATCTAAAAGACAGTGATTTAACTTACAATAATTCATGTTGGCTTTCAAGTGTATCTCTGTCTTTCCCCACCTTCTTTCAGAACTTTTCTTGTTATGCTTGTGTTACTATTAAAATTAATTACGATCAATTCTGAAAATATGCCAACATCAATCTGCTATCAGTAGTCTGTTGTGAGTCACTCCCGTTGTGAATACCTGGATAATTAAAATGCACCTTTTCTTAATGCTTGCTGTGCTTTGTTAGAATTTAAAATATCAGAAAACCATCACTCCATTCTACTTTTATGGTCTACTCTGTACGAAGGAGGTCAGGAAAGAATTTATTCCAGCACTAAAGATATTTAAGCTTCAAACCTTGTTTCTCACATTACTATGCTTTCTCCTTTCAAAAAGAAATCTTTTTTCTGTGCCTGTTCTGTAACAACAGAGTTCATCCTTCTTTAGGAAGTCAGTAATTTGAATACCTTTGTTCACTAAAACCATGTTGCTAACCAAAAATAGGAACTGGATAAAGGGAAATGAGAAGGATTTCCTTAGAAGTTTTTATACAGAATTTAAGTTTTTTAGTTTTTTTTTTTTTTATTTCTCTGTGGCCAAAACCTTATATCTGTTCCCTTTGATCTTGTGAACATGTGAATAAACCTGATTTGGGCTGTCTGAAACCTTTTATCTTTGTTGTGAAAGATAAAGGAGAATACGAAAATGTGTAAATATGGATGATGTAGAATATAGTGAAAGCTATAGTAGCAATTCAGGCATCTTAATTTTAGAGAAAAATATGTGAGAATTTATTATAAATTTAACATAGTGAAATGTAGATTAATAAATATTTCAGCACTTAGGCTTATAATTTATTAGTCTCTATTAAATTTTCGCCATGCTAAATGTACGATTTCAGGGTATATCTCTATTTTTAAAAATATATGATAGTCTTATCAGGAACTACAAAATCGTATTTGGAGTGGTGATATGCAGCTCTTAGGAAGAATTGAGGGGTTCTTTGTTTTGTTACGTGGTTGGTTTTTGACTTAGCGGCAGGTGATCTGTGTCGTTTCCTTTCGTCCAGCTCTCAGAGACTGGGAATAGAGTATACTGCTACAGTGTTGCCTATTTATTCATTTGAAATTAGGAGCAGATAACTTTCTGTCTTCTATGTGTAAAAGATTTAGAACAAAATGGAGAAAGAGCAAGTATAAACTTTTGAGAGGTCACACCTGTTTTAAGTGTGTGGGGTTGGGATCTCCTATCCACTAGATGGAGAGAGAGCTAACCACTGAAACTCTGTTCTTTCTTGACTTTGCCAGCTCCCAGCTGGGGATCCCTCTGCTGTTCACTTGCAAGGCTGCTAGCAGAAGGCGCAAAATGTTGATAAAATCGCATTTCAGAGTAGGGTGTCTGGGGTCTTAATTGTTGCTCTGTAATTTCTGAGAAAGCAGGATTGAGTCGTCTGTAATATCTTCAACTTTCCTCCTCTTTATATCATTTTTTTGGTTTTTCTGTTTCTTTATATCTTTTACTTTTCTGTTTCCATGCCTTATGATCATCCTTCTCTCTTCTGTTATTCTTCTCCTTCCTTTTGTTTTTTAATTGAAATTCTACCCATGACCCTTTAATGCCCAGCCCCGATGTCCCACCTTTCCCGAACTCCCAAGGAGACTTGCTCTCCCTGACTGAGCTTCTTCTGTCCTTCTCTTATAATATTTTTCGTAGCTTACCATTTACTATAATTATTTGTGTACTCGGCATGTCCCTGCTAAATTTTAAACTTACTCATGGTAGTGGCCATATCTTTTGAACTTTTCATCCTATTGTCATGTTATATTTCGAACAAATAAGAACATTTACTGCGTGTGTATCAGGCACTGGATTGAGAATTGGGGATACTTCAGTTAAAGAGCTCCATTGTAGGAAATGGCATATACTAAATAAATATCTCTGAAACTTAATAATTTTACAAACCGAGCTAATAATACATAATGTATTTTTTAATGTTTCTAAATGAGCAAAGTTACTGTGTAATTATAAATACATTTGTAAGTATATATTGTAATGATCCCAATCCTTTTTTTTAAGGTATGATATATACATGGAGTAGAAAATAAGTAAATACATATGAACTCTCATAGTGTGGCTCTCTTATGATTGTGGGAGTATGTTCCTGATAGTTTTTCTATATTTTCAGCTTCATCCGTAAATAAGTAACATGTTTAGAGCCAGGAAAAAGACTTGGCTTTTTACAAAGCTATTTATTTAAACCTTTCCCAGAGTTTTTTACTTTAAAATTTCTTTCTCTTTGGACTTTTAATACCATACACACTCAAATATTCTTTGCTGAAACTTAAAAAAGTGGAGATCTAAAATAGCAGTAAAACAAATGTATCACCTCTGCCTTCTATGATCTTAAAACTTAAGCTCTTCAGCAAAGCATTTTAACCATTGCGGAAGACGAAGTACAAGGGTAGGTGATGCATTTTTGGTTGGAAGGTCCTTGCTCTTTATCAGTTAATACCTGTGTGACACCTAAGAATGATATGAATCATTTCAAATGCCAGTGGGGATGGCAGTTCCTCTTATGGGTATATTAATGTTAGTTAGAATGTGAGTTCTTCTTACGTTGCTGTCATTCCCAAGTTTTCCACCTTCTAGAAAAATGAGGAGCAAGCCAATGTTATTTAAAATATTGCTAAGTGAGCATTGTGTTTCTTTATGATTGATTATTGTATTTCCTTTTGCAACAGAAGATTAATGTTGCTGTTTGTTGTTCTTAGAAGTGATTATTGGTTGGGTTATTTTTTAAGCATCAATATACTCTTCGCTAAGCATATTTTTGTTTTCCTTCAAAGCTTGAATTTTAAACTTTTTATTCTATGGAAATGATTTTGAATTTTATCATCTTTTTTGCTTTCTAAGATGCAGTAAAATATAAAAGTTTATGCAGTATATATACCACTGTGCTGTTTGGACAAGCACCTGATGATCTCTTAAATTCGTTTTTTCAGTAAAGACCTCAATAGCAGGGATGCGCTCTAATGGGAATTAAACAGGCATGCCTCAGAAATAGCATGGGTTTGGTTGCAGACCACTGCAATAAAGCAAATGTCGCAGTAAAGCAAGTGGAACAAATTTTTTGGTTTCCTAGTGCATATAAAAGTTACATTTACACTCCTGTAGTCTGTTAAGTGTGCAGTAGCATTATGTCTAAAAACACAATGTACCTGCCTTAATTAAAAAATATTTTATTACTAAAAAATGCGAACCATCATCTGAGCCTTTAGCGAGTCATAATCTTTTTTGCTGATGGAAAGTCTTATAAAAAGCAGTATCTTCAAAGCGCAATAAAGCGAAGTGCAGTAAAATGAGGTATGCCTGTATATCTACTCTTCGTTACTTTATTAAACAAAGGGTGCTCATTTGTTAAGCTCTACTATCATCAAATGTAGCAACTGACAGACTCCCAGCCTTAAGGAAACCACAATATATTTCATGTAGTAAAGAAACCTGTTTCTCTTTTTGTTTTTATATTAAACAATTGAAAGCTGTAAAAACTGAAGCTCAAGGAGGTTAAGCTTCAAGGTATTATAGCTAATCCTTCTTTCCTACTTTAGCAGTTAATTTAGTTATACCTCTTCTTGTTGCAAACTGGGTTGAGACAGCCTGTAAAATCATGTATATGCTAAAAATATAAAGAAATAAGGGTATCAAGAAAATAAATGTGAAGTAGCCTGATGAAGCCCAGGGAAAAGCGATTATAAACATAAAAGCATAATGTATGATCTTAAAGTGTTCTTACAATTGGATTGTAGCTTTGCCTCTGAGTTTCCTAGCAGCCAAAGCAAAAAGATCTGATTAATTACAGTATTCAATCTATATATTCACATAATGTATAACCAAATCACACTTTGTGTGAGTGTATATGTATTAAATGCCAGAAGCTCAGGAAGTGTATGTTTTTCTCCAGAACTCTCAGAGAAATTAGTCTCTTTCATGAAATATATGACTTGACCTAGCTCTTTTGACTCCTAATACATATTTCTTCCTATTGCCTACTCCAACTTGGTCCTATGTGCTTTAAATATACATTTTTTAGTGGAATGACAAAATTTTCTGGTTAGAAGATAACCATAACTGCTGTCATTATTCTTCTTTCCTAGGAATTCTTGTGAAATCGTGGGCACAGATCTTTGCCACCTCTAAAGCCCAAAAATTACTATTCCGGATCATAGATTGTTTACTGCTGCCACATGCAGTGTTGCAGCAAGAGAAGGAGCTGCCTGCGCCTATGTTAACTGCGATTCAGAAGAGTCTTCCTCTGTATCTCCAGGTAAAGTGAGTGTGGCTGCTTAAAAATAAAAATAAAAAAAGATTGAAACTTTACCTTGAAACAGTTTACTAACTGCAGATTTAAAAACCATACATTGTAATCTCGGTGTATGTATGCACATGAGGCACTTCCGTTGAACAAGTTCTAAACTCCTTTTGTGTTGTTTGTCTCTGGAAACAAAGGCAGAAAAGGCAAAATCTCTACCCTCAAGATGTTTAAAGTTGAGAGAGGAGGCCGACTAGCGTTGACACTTACAGGAGTGTGCTCCATCTGATATTTTCCTTAGAGGCCTCAGCTGTCTGCCGGCCAGACTGGGATGAGGAGATGAGAGAGAAGACACTGGAAACGATGTTAGGTGTAACAGAGCAGAGCAGTGGGTAGGAGTTGAAGGACTATTCCTGTCAGAGGGAACAGCACGTAAAGGGCAAGAACTTTAAGACAATATGACCCCCTGGGGGAAAGCAAACAATTCTGTGGTTGCTGGAGACTCATACAGGAGGAGCCACATAATGGAGGGTTTTATTTGCCATGCTAAGTGTGGACTTGTTCTTCTGCGTGAGAACTGTTGATGGATTTTGAGTGGAGAAGTGGGACTGATATCTCATATTTACATTTTAGGAAGGCGATTCTGGCGGCAGCATCTGAGTTAGCTGGCGTGGAGGTTAGAGTGGAGAATTGGAAGGCAGTGAGTAGCTCATTATCTGAAGGTTTTGAGCTGAGGCAGTGGGTAGGGAGCTCACACTGCAGATTTCAGAAGTACTTAGGAGCTCCAATCAAAAAGATTTGCTGAGTGAGTGTTGTGGAGTAGCAGAAATAAATAGAGTACTTCCTAGATTCCAGCGTGCCTGCTTCTGTAGATGGGAGTGCTACTAACTGAAATGGGAAATTCTGGAGATGTGGGGATGAAGGTAAGAATTGCCTTCTGAGCAACTTTACCTTGAGGTGCTCTGAACTGTCTAGGCAGCCATGTCCAGCAGGCTCTTAGAAATCTTGCTCTGTCATTCAGGGGAAAGGAGGGGGCTGGAGGTGTGCTGTGTCCTTCATTAGTGTCTGATCCTCATGATAAGTGCCTCTTAGTTTGGGGCCCAGCAAGGGAAGCCAAGGAGGAAGGGGAGAATAGATTTTGATTAGGTGATAAGCAGCCTCTTCCACAGATGGATATTTTTAAACAGATTTTTACAATTTCTAAGAGATTTTAAGTTTGCTGTTTAGTTTTGTATTCATAATAGCATTTAAAACAAAATTTAATGTGTCTGCTAGCAGAAAGATAAAGCACTGCCAGTCCCACAGAGGGCAAGATGGGGGAGGGGAGCTGTGGACAGCAGAGAGTCTGGGGTGCTTGTTCCATGTGGCCTCTTAAACGAAAGCTGCATTTTGTAAGAATTCTTTTAAACTTTCTAAGTGCTGAATTGAAAATTTTGGTGAATTTTCCATTTGAGAGAATTGACTTGGAGTTGTATTTTTAATTTCTTAAAGGTACCCAGCTCTCTTCTTCCGAATTTTCAAAATATATCCATTTATTGCTTCATCTTCTTCTGATTTAATGTGCTTTTCCTTAAACAAAGCATTAATGAAACGGGGTAGAGGAGTGGTCCATTGTTTTTTTTCAATTGCTGTTTAGTTGTTAGTGTTTTAACAGCTCTATGCTATTTTTCATTACAAATAAACTTTCCAAGTTTCTTATTAGATAAATACGCATTTATAGTTAAAATGGAGATAAAAACATTTCTAATCATTTCTTTGGGAAAACACTTTGTGAGTCACAAAGTACCAAATAGTAAATGAATTTTTAGAGCATAATTTGTTGTTGTATTGGTGATTATCTGTATGTAGTAATATGTGCTATTTAGTAACATTGGCAGAAAAAAATTTGTTTCTTAGGGTATTGGTTTAATTGTTTGTAAGTATTAGATAACTGTAATCCATATGAAAGTATTTTGTTAGCTTCTATACAGATGGAAGGGATTAAATCAACAGGGAATAACACATTGTGAGTTCCTTGTGATCTTGATTAAACCCAACTTCTCTGAACCTCAGTTTTCTCAGCTGTAAAATTGGAGATACAATAATGCTGTCAATGGTTTTTTGAGAAATTTAAATGAAAGAATGAATATAAAGCATGTGGTACAGTGCCTGACATTAAAAAAAAAAACCTTGAAATAAATTGTCATTATTCTGACTCTTAATCTTGTGCATTTTTCTCCTTTTGTTAATTTTTTTTATTTTATCACTTTTTGTAACATGCAAGACTTTTAGCATAATTTTGGTAGTCTTATTCAGACAAATGACCAGTACCCTACGTGAAAAAACTGACCTAAAATGTATTTTATAACTTTATAAAAACACAGATATATCATTGATAAGTGTGGTGATCAAGTTTCCTGAGGAGGAGAGAAGAAGGAAGCTTCCATTGTCTTCCTGCACTTCTCCCCTGCTTCCTTTGGGCATGCCCCAAAGATGCACATGTTTGCTTAGATACCACAGCTTGGTGTTACCCAAGCCCAGCAATTCCCTGAGCTGCATATAAACGTTATCTGTTAATGATCGGCGCTGTCCTTGTTCATTAAGTTCGGACATGGATATTAATACTAGGGACTAAATTAGTAAATTCCTAAGTTTTTAACTTCTCCATTTAGTATTTCTTTCTTTTTTTTTTTTTTTCCTCTTCTGTAGGGCATGTGTATCGTGTGTTGTCAGTCTCAAAATCCCAATGCCTATTTGAATCAACTTCTAGGGAACGTTATTGAGCAGTATATTGGGCGGTTTCTTCCAGCTTCACCACATGTTTTAAGTCTTGGACAACATCCTGTTTTGTTGGCAGTGAGAAACTCGGCCACTGTTCCACCAATGTCATCTCTAAAGAAATGCATCGTACAAGTGATAAGGTACATCTAAATATTAAAAATAAGTGGTATGTAAAATGTATTAATCTCTTTTAAAAAGTAACAAAGCATTTCAAAAATATTGGCAACCCTTAGGATACTGGTAGTGTAGAAACTTTTTTTTCCCTAAGAAACATTGTCTAAGAATTTACTAAAATGACTTTTGCTCATAGCAGCCTGAGACTATGCTCCTTAAATTACTTGTTTTCTCTACATAGCTATTATTTTCCTTATATATGTCCTAAAGATATATATACATTTTTAAATTTTTATCAAACAGTAATTGTATTTTTTACTGTACAAAATACAGTAATATTATAAAAGATAACTAAGTGAAAGATGAGTGCTAAAATGAAACAGGAAGCAGTATGAAGTCCTGTTTTGTTAGTCTATTCTGTGTCTTAAGAACTCAGTTTTATTATTGGACAGGTGAATAAATGAAACTTCTTTTAATGACAGCATTAGAAGATTCAATAATAGAAATTATCTTTTCTTTATCTTCATGAAGTATTTAGCTTTACTTGAAGTTAGTTTTTAAACTTTAAGATGCTGTGGTGATACATATCATTCTTATCTGGAATTTTTTTATTGTTTTTAATGACCTGATATTTTCCATCACCTCTCATTACAGAATTCCATGTCTAAAATCTGTTCTCCCTTCTGATCCTTTTTGTGTGTTCCTATCCTCTGTTACTCAGGTTTGGAAGCTCCATATTCTTTGTTCCCTCTCCTTTGCCATTCTTTGGCAAATGATTGTTTCCTTCCCTTCTTTTCACGTCTCTCTTCACTTGTCACATTATACCTGGACTATTGCCACTATCTCTAACTATTTTCACTATCTCTAGTCTTTTCTTCTAGTTCAGCCTATACAATGCCTCCCGATTACTTTTCCTAAAATACTGTTCCATTATAACACTCCCCTTCCCCGTACACCTTCATTTGCTCTTTTTTTGCCTACGGAATAAGTTCCATACTGCTTTGCACTCCATGATCTGTCACTTAACTTTTCCAAATGTACTGAATATGCCATCAAATACAAACCCTAATGAGATCGGTTTAGTTATTGCCCCTCCAAAATGCTTTACATTTCCCTACATCACAGCTTTGTTCATACCGTTTTCTCCATTAAAATGCCATCCCTCTGGGCTAAACTCTGCCTAGACTTTATAAGACTTACACCTAATATCTCAGTGTGCCATGATGCGTTCTTCCTTCTTCTGAAGTCTTATGCTCTGTACAATTCAATTTGCAGAATTGTAATATTTTTGCCTTACTTGTATCTGAATTCCCAACAAGATTGTAGTACTCTACCACTGCGTGTGGGACATTGTATAAGTAATTTTAGCACAAACCAAATGACAAGGGCTGATGGGAAATTATCCTTAGATCATGAAACTGGTTTAAAGTCCAGTGTTTAGAATCCTGGCTGGTTCAGTGGACATTCCCATATAACAGTGGAAACATTTTTCTCATGGTTTCTAGCTCAAGACCCAAAAACCTAACAAGTACTTCTTTTTTTAAAATACTCAGAAAAAAAATAGAGATTGCCTCCTCTGCCTTTTTCCATTCCATGCCTCTCCATTCTTGCAGTCCCCCATCTTAGTTAGGGCTTCTTTCTCTGAATTGCTGAGAATTCTGGGCTTATCTTTCAAAAAGCACCTGCCGCCCTACATTAGGATGGTCTTTTTTCTTTTTTTTTTTTGGTCCAACTTTTCTACTAGAGAGCGTGCCCCTTGGTTTCAGAGACCATATTTTACTTAACTTTACATTGTTGTTATTGGACTTGTACCTGACACACCATAGGTACCCAATAAATGTTTGTTCTGGGTGTTAAGAATTCACCAGTGAAGAAAAAAGGCAAAACCCTTGCCTTTAAAGAATGAATGAATCTTCTGATGTGTAATATTTGCTGGAAGTCACTGTGTGGAGTAGAAATAATGAGGAAGACATAGTTCCTTCCCTTAAGGAATTTATAATCCTTAGTGATTTGTTTGCTTTATTTTGGCAAAGTATTATTGCTTTGCAAGTATATATGGATGTCTAGCTTAGATTTAGCTGTATTTGACAATTTTTCATATTGTCTAGACTTTTTAGAAACTGAGCAATTCCCTCTTTCATTTATTCACTTAACAAATGTACACTGACCACCTGTTATGAGCCAAGACCTGTTCTAAGAGGGAGAGATGCAAAAATGAGTAAGATAAATTATCTTTATGATCTCCGTTGAGTTCTAATGCTAAAATTTGTCCTGCTTTGAGAGAAGATACTAATCCTGAATTACCCCTCTAATTCTTTTGCTTCCTAAGGGAAGGAAGGAAGTAAAGCTGGAATGGGAAGTTGATTCCTAGGACGGTCCTCTTATTGTTTTGGAAAAATAAGACCCCTCCCAAATCCTTAAATAAATAAGTGTGAAGAGAGATTTCTTTATACAAATTTGACGTTAGAGAAAATATTGCATCATTTAGGGGCTGATAGAAGAGATCAAGCTTATATTAGTAAGGAAAAAAACAAATTAACAATTAGATTTTCATGTGGATTTTGATTAAGTTCGTTTTAAGACCAGGCTGCTTTAAATTTCGTTTGTGTCTGTTCTACTTTGGCCCCCATACCACACCAAAAGGATGGGCAGTCATTGCTTCTAAAATCTTATGTTTGAAGGTAGCATGGTAAAATATGCATGCTTTTAAAAAACTGTGCTTTATTTTGGGGGGTAAAATTTGCCAGTATTTTTAAAGTGTGTGATATTTGATTCTGCTTTAAACAGAAGAAAACTTTAAACAAGGAAAAACAAAATTGTGCTTATTTTCAGGAAATCCTACCTTGAGTGTAAAGGGTCCTTGCTCCCTCCTCGCTTAGCATCCATTCTGGCCTTCATCCTCCAACTCTTCAAAGAAACTAACATCGACATTTCTGAGGTTGAACTTCTCCTCCCAGGCATCTTAAAATGCTTGCTCTTGGTCAGTGAACCTCAAGGTTAGTTTGAATTTGTGTTGGCTACACTTTTCTGTGCACATATTGAAAAAGTACTCTTTCCTCTCAGTTAAATTGATAGGTATAAAGTATATGGTTATTTTATACCAGTTTGTATATATCATGACTAAAGAACAAACTCCGGCCAATAGCTGAGTTTGGGCATTATAAAATAGTTAAAAACTGAAATGTTTCAGTCTACCTTAGTTTTTCCCCCCAAGGCAGTAGTTTATTTAATGGCTACTTCCTCTAATTAGACTTGTTAACCTCTTAAAGAATATTTGTTCAATGTGACTCCTGTATTAAATGCAACTTGTCAAATATCAAGTGGTGAGGGGTGAGCATACTTTCTTCTATTCAGGTTCCTGCTAAAATATCTAAGCTGATTTCTTGGGCACCCCTGTAAGGATCCTTTGATCCTACTCCTTTTGTTTTCAGTCTCATCAGCCTTACTGCCAGTGATCTCTTTAAAATATCATTTGTTTAATCCCCACTGTGAGTAGCATGCTTTAATAAGCTTATTGGGAATATGCAGAATAGTAGCCATAGTTCTATCCTGAAGGAGTTTTTACTGTAAATAGGATGTTATGTGTGTGTATTTATCATTAAAATGTGATCGTCTGGGGCAGCGCTTCTCAAATGCTTCTACCTGTGTCCTTCCAACTGCTGTGATAAGTGAGTGTGTGTATCCCGAAGAATATGATGAGGGCAGCGCCCAAAGTGGCAGCTGAAAGCTCAGACAGCTCTTTGAAATGTTCTGTCTCAAAAATTTATGCATATTTTGTTTTAATCCATCTTTATTTTAATATTTAAAGTGTTCCTGTCTGCTCCCAAGCTTGGTTTTGTGAAAAATGTTGTCTTGTGTTAACATAGACTCCCCTTACTTGATAGTAACCTCCCTTCACTGAAGAATACCCGGATGGACCCCAGACTCTTCTTTAGAAATTTTTCCCTCATTGAAAACTTAGGCATACTTTTAATTTCAGTGAAAGTCTTTTGTACTGTACCATACAAGATTTGTTGAGACAGAGTAGACAGTATAAAATTTTAGCTAGCCACTTCTTTCAGCGGTAGTAATATTTCTCTTGAAGGAGAGCAGGGTTTGGAAAGTGAATTTTGCTGCTCATATCTTGCTAGTGAGTACATCACATTTAGCATAGATGGAATACAGAATTCTCCATCTCCGCATTGCTGTCTTTTAAGCTGAAGAAGCAGTATCAAACACAGATTTGTGTGCTTGGTTCAGAGAGAATTCTGACTCTCCTTACAGTCTCAGTGTTTAAAAGGACAATTTGTAAAACCATAGAAAGTTAGTGTTACTAAATCACTCAACTAGTCCACTCCAGGGTATATGCCCAAGAGTATTTTAAACATATGTCTAAGGGCCGGCCCCATGGCCCAGTGGTTAAGTTTGGGCACTCTGCCTCGGTGGCCCAGGGTTTTGCCAGTTCGGATCCTGGGCACAGACGTGGCACCACTCATCAGGCTGTGCTGAGGCAGTGTCCCACATAGCACAACCAGAGGCACTCACAACTAAAATAGACAATTATGTACTGGGGGGATTTGGAGACAAGAAGAAACGAAAAAAAGAAGACTGGCAACAGATGTTAGCTCAGGTGCCAATCTTTAAAAAGAAAAACAACGTATGTCTACTCAAAAACCTGTACACAAGAGCTTGAGGAGTTCTGCTCCTGGCATGACAACATAAGGAGCTCTTCTGACCTGCTCCCTAGCGAAACTGGTGAAAATTATTTAAAAGAAAACATTTAAATTCTCTGGAAATGGTGCTAAGTGTATACAGCAAATGCAGAAACATTTATTTGAGAAAATCTACTAAAACTTGATAAGAAGAGCAGAACTCTCTGGTATCTGAACCATTCCCTCCTGCTCTCCTCCCAGCACAGTAAGATGGAAACTCTACTCCTGACTGGTAAATCTAAGAACATAGGGCTCCCTCTCTCCCCAGTTCCTAGTAGGAGAGCTATCATCCTGTGAGAGGCAGGATATCACATTTCTCATCTTGCCTCAAAGCTACCTGATGCTAAGGTTATGTTCCAGGCAAGTGTGGCTGAGAAGTAGGGGCTCCATTCTTCCACTCAGCCCCCATTCATGGGATGGATGCAGTGCATTGAGTGTGACACCACTGAGAATACTGGAGCATGGTCATCCTTGCTACAGCTTAGAGGTGGGGATACCATGCCAAGAGGAGCAAGCCCAGGACCTGAGGCTGCTGCCCTTCCTTCCACAAGCAGTCAGCTCCTAAAGTGGATGTGTCACTCAAAAAGTAGTAGGCACCAGTGTGCCTGTCCCCAGCATCAGAGCCATGCCTCTGAGATTTTGCCTGGTGGAGGGTCTAGGGAGGAGAAGCAGGCTATAGAACAGAAAACTCTGAATCTCTCCGTAAGGAACTGACTTCATTTGTAACAGAGTGTGAAAAAGTTCAAACCTAAGAGTGCTGTCAAAAACACTTGAAAGCACCAAGAGAAAAATGGCTCATCACTTTACAGGGAACCTCAGTAAGATCAACAGCTAACTTCTCAGCAGAATCAATGGAGGCCAGAAGGCAGTGGGATAGCACTCAGAGTGACCAAGAGAAAAAACTGTCAACCAAGAATCCTACGCTGCCTTTCAAAAATGAACATGAAATAAGGACATTCCCAGATAAAAACTAAGAATTTTTGCTAGCAGAACTGCTTTATGAAAAAGGAAGTTCTTCAGAATAAAAGTTAAGTGACACAGACAGGAAAAACAAAGAACACCAGTAAAGGTAATTATGTAATTATAAAAAGCAGCTTAAATGTATAGTTCTTCACCTTATTCTAAAAGCAATTGTATAAAACAATGTGTATATAATGTGTTGTTGGGCCTATAACATATAGAAATGTAATATATTTACCAATAATAGTACGAAGGTGATGGGAGCAAAGCTGTATTGAGCTAAGGAAATGACTCCAGATGATAACTCAAATACACAGAAACAAATGAAGAGAACCAGAAATGACAAATAAGAAGGGTAACATAACAAAAGCTAAAATATATACTTGCTCTTCTTTCTCTTATTTAGTTTGTTTGAAAGATATAAAAGCATATAAAAAATAACTATCGTTGAGTTTGTAACTTTTGTAGATGTAATATGTATAACAATAATACCACAAAAAAAGGGAGAAGGGAATTGTGCCATATAGGAGTAATGTTTCTATATTTCACTAGAATTAAATTTCTGTAAATCTGAAGCTCTGGTAAGTTGAGATGTATGTTGTAAGCCTAATGCAACCACTAAGGAAATAATTCAAAACTAATAAAAAACCGTCAAAGAAATTAAAATGCTGCATTTTAAAATATTCACTTAATGTGAAAAGAAAGCAGTAAAGGAGATTAGAGGAAGAAAACCCACAAGACATTTAGTAAACAAAAAGTAAAATGACTGTTGTAAATCTGACTATATCAGTAGTAACATTAATTGTGAAAGGATTGAGCAATCCAATTAAAAGGCAGAGATTATCAGAATGGATTTTCTAAAAAAGATCTAACTATATTCTATTTGCAGGAAACACTTTAGGTTTAAAGAATGACAGTAAAAGGATGGGAAAAGACAACATCATGCAAACCAAAAGCACAGAAAGCTAGAGTGCTATACAGTATCAGGCAAAATAGACATTAGGCCAAAACATGTTACCATAAATAGAGAAATTTTATAATGATGAAAGAGTCAATCCGTCAGGAAGATTTAACAATTACAAACATATGTGCACCTAATGACAGAACACCAAAATACAGGAAGCAAAACTGAGAGAAACAGAGGGAGAAATAGACAGTCAATAGTTAGAGTTGGAGGACTTGGGTTTTCCATGTCAACATGTAAAGAGCTCTGAAATCATGACTCTCACCTTTACAACAAGAAAAAATCTGAATAAACTGAAAAACAACTCTTCTTAGATGCATCAGAGAATTGAAGTCATAGGGCAAACCACTGCCCCCAAAACTGAGCATACAGCGATTTGTCAAATTCAGTTTAAGTATTTCTACCAGTATCAGCTCCAGCAGCAGGCTTCTGGGCCTGGTAAGCTGTAATTCTCTGTATCTACCTCTCTCTCCAGTTTTAATCTAATAGATAGCTTTTTGTTCAAAATAATAGCAACAAGGTATTTGGTAATTAGACCTTATGGATAAGTGAAATGAATGACTGCAGTATTATAAGGATGGGAGAAAGGAATTGGGAATGCTCTGTTCAAAAGTACCTGCACTACCCATGAAGGAATACAGTGTTATTTAAAAGTGGTCTTGGGTTAGTTATAATTATACACTTCAAACTCTGGGGCAACTACTGAAAATAAATTTTAAAAAGAAGTATATTTAATGTGCTAAGAAAGGAGAGAAAATGGAATCCTATAAAATGCTCAATTAAAACGTTCAGAGAAGGCAGAAAGAGAGTGGAAGATTAAGAAAAAAAGAACAAGAGCAATGAATGGAAAAGTTACCTAAATGGTAGCTATTAATCCAACTATATCACTTTAAATGTGAGTGGTCTACATAAATCAATTAAATGACAGGAATTGACAGAATGGATTAAAAAACAAGGCCCAACTATATGTTGTGTATAAGAAGCCCACTTTAAATATAAAGACACAGATACATTAAAAGTAAAGGGATAGAGAAATATATACACTGCTAACATAAGCCAAAATAAAGCTATAGTAGCTATTTAGTTTCAGACAAAGCAGACTTCAGAACAAGTAGAATTATCTGAAATAAAGAGGGGCATTGCATAATGACAAACTGGGAATAGAAGAGAACTATTTCAATCTGATGAAGGACATGTGTGAAAATGTGACAGCTCACATCATACTTAATGGAGATGCTTTCACCCTAAGATTAGGAACAAGACAAGGATGTCCACTGTCGCCACTTGTGTTCAACATTGTACTAGAAGTTCTAGTCAGGGGGAAGAAAAAGAAATAAAAGGCATCTAGATTGAAAAGGCAGAACTAAAATTATCCCTGTCTGCAGATGATATAGAAAATCCGAAGGACTCTACTAAAAAACTGTTAGAACAATAAACAAGTTCAGCAAGGTTGCAGGATACAAAATCAAGATACAAAAATCAATTTTATTTCTGTATACTTTCAGTGAACAATCTGAAAATGAAATTAAGAAAATGGTTCCATTATAATAGCCTCAAAAAAGAAAAACTATGAATAAATGTAACAAAAGAGAAATACAAACATAATCTGAAAACTGCTGAACATTTTTGAAAGAAATTAGAGAATATCTAAATAAATGGAAAAATATCCCATTTTCATGGATTGTGGAAGAGTTAACATAATTAAGGTGGCAGTGTTCCCCACATACATCTACAAATCCAGTGCAACTCCTACCAGCATCCCAGCAGGTTTCCTTGTAGATAGTGACAAGCTGATTTCTACAATTCATATGGAATTACAAGGGACCCAGAATGGCAAAACAATCTTGAAAAAGAACAAAGTTGAAGACTCACACTTTCCAGTTGCAAAACTTAGTACAAAGCAACAATAATCAAGACAGTGTGGTACTGACGTAAAGATAGAGATAGATCAATGGAATAGAATTGAGAGTCCAGAAATAAACCCGTGTGTCTATGGTCAACTGACTTTGACAAAGGTGCCGGGATCATTCACAGGGCGGGACATAGTCCTTTAAACTAATTGTGCTAGGTCAAATGGATAGCCACATGCAAAAGAATGAACATGTGCCTTTACTTCACAACGTATACAAAAATTAACTCAAAATGGATCTTAGATGTAAATGTCAGGCTAAAACTATAAAACTCTTAGAAGAAAGCATAGGAGTAAGTCTTCATGACCTTGATTTTGGCAATGAATTTTTAGATATGACACCAAAAGCATAAGCCATGAGAGCTAAATTGGACCTAGTCAAAATTTAAAACTGGTGCTTCAAAGGACACTATCAGGAAAGTAAAAAGACAATCCACAGAATGGAAGAAGATATTTGCAAATCATTTATATGATAAGGAACTTTTATCTAGAATATATAAAGAACTGTTACAACTCAATAATAAAAAGACAAATAGCAATTAAAAAATAGACAAAGGGTTTGAATAGACATTTCTCCAAAGAATATATGCAAATGGCTAAGCACCTGAAAAGGTGCTCAGTGTCATCAGTCATCAGGGAAATGCAAATCAAAACCTCGATGAGATACTGCTTCATACTCACTAGGTTGGCTGTAATGAAAAAGTCAGATAATAGCAAGGTTTGGCGAGAATGTGGAGAAATCACAACCCTCGTTTACTGCTGTTGGGAATGTAAAATGGTGTAGTAACTTCAGAAAACAGTCCGGCAGTTCCTCAAATGGATAAACATAGAGTTCCCATGTGACCTAACAATGCCTCTCCTAGATATATACCCAAGATTAACAAAAACATATGTCCACACAGAAACTTGTTCATAATGTTTACAGCAATATTATTCATAATAGCCAAAAGGTAGACTGCCTATCAACTGATGGATGGATTTTGAAAATATGATATATCCATACGGTGGAATATTATTTGGCCATAAGAACAAATGAAGTACTGCTACATGCTACAAAATGGATGAACCTTGAAAACATTATTCTAAGTGAAAGAAGCTGGTTACAACAGACAACATATTATGTAATCATTTATATGAAATGTCTAGAATAGTTAAATCTATAGAGACAGAAAGTAGATTAGTGGTTACTTAGGGGTTATCAGAGGGTAGGGAGTGAGAGCCAAAGGGTGTGGGGTTTCTTTTCAAGGTGAAGTTGACTGAAGTTGACTGCGGTGGTGATTGCGTGGCTCTGTGAATATCCTAAAAACTATTGAACTGTACTTGTTAAATGGGTGAATTGTATAGTATGTGAATTATGACAATAAAGCTGTTATTATAAAAAAAACTTAAAGAGATTACTAAGTTTTAAAAAACTCAGTTTAATTAAAGAAATAAAGATGACAAATTTCTTTTTTAAAAACCCACTCCACTAATATCCATAGCAGCATTATTTATAATAGCCAAAAAATAGAAACAACTCAAATATCCATCAAGTAATGAATGGATAAACAATATGGGGTATATCCATACAAGGAAATATTATTTGATCACCAAAAGAAATGAAGTATTGGTACATTCTTACAACATGGAGAAACCTTAAAACATTATGCTAAGTAAAAAGAATGCAGTCACAGAAGACCACCTGTTGTATGATTCCATTTATGTGAAATTTCCAGGAGAGTCAAATCCATAGACATAGAAAGTAGATTAGTGGTCTCCAGGGCCTGGGCAGGGGGAAAAAATGGCAAATGATTGCTAATGAGTATAAGCTTCTTTTGGAAGGTGATGAAAATTGTTCTGAAATTATATAGTGATGATGGCTTCACAACTCTGTGAATATACTAAAAGCGATGAATTATACACTTTAAAAGGTTGGTTTTTACGATATATTAATTACACCTCAATAAAGTTGTTATTTTTTTTTTTAAATGCTTACTATTAATACTCTATTAAAGCTCTTTCTTTGTGTTCTGGTGCTTTTTTCCACAGAAAGAGCTTTCAGGGTTTGTTTTTCAAGAAAACATCTTTTAAGAAGACCCATTATACTGGTTCTAGAATTGTATCTAATATAAGAAATTATTTGCTCAATAACGAGACAAGTATGCTATCTTCTTTATCCACTACCCTCATGCCTTGGAAAACATTATTACTTAATATTAGTTAATTTAAGTTCATGTATGTCATATGTTTGGTGCTCCTTTTATAATGGATTACAGTTTTTCAAATTTTTTTATTCATAGACAGAGCACTTTTTCCCCCAGTTACTTATAATTAACGTGCCAAAAACAATAGAACAAAAATTTAGTAGCATTTGGAACATACTGAATTTTCTATAGACTTTTTTTATTGAAGTAATATTGGTTGATAACATTAAATTTCAAGTGTACATCATTATATTTTGACTACTGTATAGACTACATCGTGTTCACCACCAGAAGTTTCACCATACAAACATCCCCCTTCTATCCCATTCACCCTCCCCCAACCCTCCTCCTCTCTGGTAACCACCAATCTATTCTCTGTGTCTATGTGATTTGTTGTTGTTGTTGTTTTATCTTCCACATATGGGTGAAATCGTACGGTATTTGTCTTTCTCCATCTAACTTATTTTGCTTAGTATACTGCCCTCAAGGTCAGTCCATCCCTGTTGTTCCAAATGGCAAGATTTCATCCTTTTTATGGCTGCGTAGTATTCCATTGTATATTTCTACCACATCTTCTTTATCCATTCATCCATTGATGGACACTTAAGTTGTTTCTAAGCCTTGGCTATTGTGACTAATGCTGCAGTGAACATAGGGGTATATATTCTACATCCTTTCTTCACACTTTATTTTTTTCATTTTTATGTATACGTGCACAATTTTAATGCATTTGGCTAAATATTTAAAGAATACAAATGTTCTTTTTGTAACTTTGCTTCCTTTTGAAAGGAAGATAGCATCACGAATAGTTGGTATATGTGTATATCTTTGACTAATTTTAAGTGAAGGTAAATTGTTGGTGGTTTCTAATTTGCTACATTTATATTTGTTGGTGAGTGGGAGGGAATGTGCTTATGAATTTAAAAAATCAATCTGCTTGTCTGTAAATCAGTTGAATTATTACAGGCTGTCTTTGCCAGTTCATAACAGTGCTTGCAGTATTAGGATGGTATAGTGTTTCTGAATGTGAGCTCTTTTCTAAGAGAAAGACATATCTTCACATGTATTTTTTCAGTTATAAGGTTGTAAAAAAGTAGACTCTTCAGCTTTTTGTATTTTCTTAAATTGGAAGGTAAGGAGATAGATTGGAAGATATACTTTAGAACAAAAAAACTCATAACTATTGAATTTTGAAAAATAAAAAAGCATGTACACTTTAAGAAAGCGACATATTTTTCTAAATCGAGTGTTTATAAAACTGAGGATCCAGATGGTCAATTCAGACACAGTGTGTAATGCTATAATTTTTCCTCCTAGTTAAAAGGCTGGCCACAGAGAACCTGCAATACATGCTAAAAGCCTGCCAAGTGGGGTCAGGAGGAGAGCGTGCCGCCCAGCTGACTTCTGTGTTTAGGTAACTGGAAAATATGCCAACTGGCAAGGAGACTACTGCCAGCCATTTGACAGCCAACATGTTTTTTAAATAACTAATTATCCAAAACATAATGTGTTACTACTTGTTTATAGTATTTCAATTATTGTATTTTTGGCAGTAGTTTTGTTGCATTGTGTTGTTTTATTAAAAAATAAAGGTGCCAGGGAGAAAGATAAGTGAGCTGACTTAAAATTACTGAAAATTGAGTAAGGAACACTCTTGCATGGTTTTAAGAGGAAAAAGTGGGAAACATGAGTCACGATGACAGGTGCACAGCCTTCACTCACACCCAGCGTAGAAGAACACGTCACGAGCTTGCTTACTTGCTTTGGATACTGTAGACCCAGAAGGCTTCGTTATATTTCATGTGTGAAGCATAGACTTTGCAGGAGTAGATCTGTTGTTCATTCAGAAGAATAACAGTGCAACTTGAGGAATGTCCTGTTTCGGTTTTTTCCCCTGCTTTGCCTTCTTTAGAGTCTTGTGTTTTCAGTTAGGGCAGTATTTTTAAGTATTTCTTTCACACAGTTTCTACCAGTTCACCTTTATTCTTCATATCTCTAGCACTACTGTGGTAAATAATTCAGGTCCATTTTCTTCATTCTGTGTTGGATCTTTGATTCCTCAGTTTCTTTTCTCATCACATAATCGGCACTTGTCAAGTGTTTACTTAGAGTTTATTTAAATTGTGATCACTTGAAATAACTAGTGAATTTGTGAAAACTGTAAAACCTTAAGAGGGGAGAGAGAATTTTATATGAACAAAGACTGCATGTTTGTTATGTACAATTTATTAAGCCATGTGGCTTTTATTTTTGGGGGGAGAGAGTGGAAATTTTAGTGTTAAAATTTATAATTCTTATTTATAAAGACCCCTTCTGGGTCTAAAGTCTCTTATTCAGTTAAGGAATATAAAAATATATTAGGAATAACTTGCCTCATAAAAATATTGTTGGATATATCTAGAGATACGAAGAACTGAAACACATCTAGGAAACTGGACTCGTTTTTTCCTGTCTTAGTCTCTTCCACATCCTTACTACCCAGATTTCGACATGCAGGGTATAGCAAAAAAGTCCCTGGGATTAGACTGTTCCCTTTTTCTCTCTCCTGGGATTGCAACTCTTCCCTCTTCCTCCCAATGCCATCACTCTGGTCAAGGTTCACACTGAAAAAAGCCATTTCTGTCTTTTATTCCTGTGTTATAGATAGTTTTCATATGGCATCTAGATTTTTAAGGTAATCTTAGATGAAATGATCTTTCTTGTATTCAGGTTTCAGCTGATTGCCTTAGAGATACCAACCCGAGGAATTGCCCCAGAAGTAACCCTAAGTAACATGATTTAATTTCAGGCATTTTATCCAGGATTATGATACGAGATACAGTTATCAGATTTACAACATTTTAGAAACAGTAGCAGCATTGGACCAGCAGCTTGTTGTCCACTTGATTTCTACCCTCACTCAGTCTCTGAAGGATTCAGAGCGGAAATGGGGCCTTGGCAGAAATATAGCACAAAGGTATGTTTGATAATTTGGTTATATCCTTTGGGGCATAATGATTATAAAATCTAGACTCTTTTTCTAGAAATGGCTTATTTTCCATTCCCCAGAATTTGGACTGTGTTCCTTTGAGTTGAAAAATGTTTTAATACTGTGATTCACACATCCATTCACATACTGTTCTTTTCAAAGTGACCACCTTGGACAGCTGTATATTTCAGCACTGCAGCTGTTGCTCAAAACTCCTGCAGTGTTCCTCACTGGGAAGTGGCCTGTAGACCCTCAGGGGTCTTCTTTTTGTATAAAATCCATTGTGACAAATCAACCCCTTTGAGGAATGCCTGATTTACTGAATCAACTATATCATGTGTATCCACTGAATAAGTTGAGTGACCCAATTAGATAATATGGGTTTTGGTCAAAAAAAAAAAAAATAGATGGTAAGGCTTTTTTTCTTATAGGCTTACACCCCAACTGAAGATAGCGCTGGACTATTTAGAGTAATGAAACATTGTAGGAATAAGCCAGTAGTTCCTAAAGAAATTGTTTTAGAGGGGTCAGTACTCACACTATCCTTATGTGTCCCAAAGTTTGTTAAAGAATCAAAGTACTTTACTCTGTGTGTGTGTGTGTGTGTGTGTGTATGTATGTATAAACAAACAGAGATTCAGGCAGAGTCAATGCGTAAATACTTAAATAAAAAATAATGGAAAAGGTAATAAATACATCTGCCCTCTTTTCTTTTTTCTTAAACAGGGAAGCCTATAGCAAACTTTTATCTCACCTAGGACAAGATGGACAAGATGAGATGCAGAGACTGGAAAATGACAATACCTAATATATTTTATGATTAATCTTCTCTATTATACTTATCTAAGGCCACTTTGCACCATTTTGACTCCTACTTTTAATTAATTGTATTATCTGTTAAAAATGCTTTCTAGGATGTTTTCCTTACATACGTGTAAGTATAAAGTATATAAATAAGAAAATAAAGGTTAATTATGTTATAGGATCTTTGGAACTTGGCAAAACTGCATTCTATTTTGAAGAGATTTTAAACTAAAGAAAATCTTTCTAACTGGGAGTGTTATCTGTGTGTGACTATTAAGCAGGTATGTACTGGTTGATCCATGGACTTTTCACTGACTTCCTGCATTCTGAGCGATTTGTGTTTGTTTTTTACAAGTTATGTTTTAATACAATACTTTTTCAAATTACCTGACTACCCTATGCTGGGTTCTTTTAGAGGGGGGATCAGAAGATGGGACTGTGTGTTTCTTATCCTTTTTCATACTATGTGTGAGGCAAGTTAGTAAAACCCTTACAAAGCACACTTAACTCTGTGAGAAATGAGACTGAATTGGCTAAATGATTTATACACATAATATATAAAATTTTTTTAAACTTAAGCCAACAGTGTTTATGCTTAGGTTCCAACTGCTGCTGGATGTTTTTCTGTACCCATCCTTTCTTTTGGAGGTATCATTAAAAGACCTATTAGGAGGAAGATAAACAAGAGCCTTTAGGAAAGAGAATAAATAATATTCTGGAAAATCAATTACAAATTACCAGAAGAGGTCTGAGAAGCCAGCTGATTATCTCTTTGCTCTTCAATTAGAGCTTCTTGTAACTTAGCATCTTTTATGTTCACAGGGAACCAGTTTAGTTTCTTTTAGCAGATGCTGTCTCTCAACTTGTTAACTATCTTATCCAGATTTATTTTACCACTTGGGCTCCTGTCCTTGACTCCTTTTTGTGGTTGAGCATTATTTAGTAAAAATAATGCCAGTCCTAATGTTGGGAACCCACCTCGGTCTCAAACGCAGCACTGTTTTGTGACCTTGAGCAAGTTACTTAACTTTTCTGAGCCTCAGTTTATTCATATAGAAAGAAGAAGAAACTTTTTCTGTTTCACAATGCTCTTGTAAGAATTAATGGGATGATGTATGTGAAAATATTTGGTGGCCTGTGTTCTGTGTGGAGGTGTGCAGACATGATTGCTGTTACTCAGGCACAGCAGAGGGAAAGAACACGTCTCAGTTTTGTTCCTCTTTCTCTAAAGATATAGTACATCCTAGATGTATGACCCCACTTTTTTCCCATGTTTTCTTACATGTCATGTCTGCTAACTTTGAAATGATTTGTTTTCTTCTTGGGACTGTAATATTTATCATAGTTCTACTAATCCTTCAAGAAAACATTTCAACACTTTTCTGGCTCAAGAAATGTCTGTAAAAATGGAATGCATTGCAGTCAGCAAACTATAGGTAACAGCCCTCTCCTAATTGTAACCTGTGAAGTCTAAAGGAGTATCTATTGTTTTCATGACATACAGATGGTCTATTTTCCCCCCAAAATCAAGTGTCATTACTTCACAAATGGAATGAATAAAAGCCTCTTTAAGGTTCCTTAATAGACTTCATAGCAATGAATTTACTTTCTTTTTTTTTGTTCCCCTTGAGGAAGTCTAGCCATGAGACAACATCTGTGCCAATCTTCCTCTGTTTTGTTTGTGGGTCGCTGCAACAGCATGGCAAGACAAGTGGTTTAGGTCCATGCCCGAGATCCGAACCCACAAACCCATGCCAGCAAAGCAGAGTGCGCTGGACTTAACCACTGTGCCACAGGGCCAGCCCCTTCATTATAATTTATTAAACTAATAATGTATTGCTTTGCAAGTTTCAGCAATTAGAGTTTTATCTATTTAAGGTGATGCCTTTAATGTGATCATTTATATATGTATTTTTTATTTTCTAAGGGAGATAAAGATGTCTTTGAGAATCTTGCTCCTTAGAGTATAAAACTTTTAAAGGGTAAGAAAAGCTGCTGCTGAATCATGTATTAGGGCGTATATCTGTAGATGCTGAGAATAACGAAGGTTTGCACTTAAAAAATAAGTAACAAAAAGTCTGTAATGATAGATGTATGTGTATGTATATATATTTCTATGTATTTTATTTATGTATAAGTAAAATTTTAAAGAAGCTGTTTGGGTTTTTTTCTGAGGAAGATTCACCCTGAGCTAAGATCCACTGCCAATCTTCCTCTTTTATTCTTTCTTTCTTTTTTCTGATCAGGAAGATTAGCCCTGAGCTAACATCTCTGCCAGTCTTCCTCTATGCTTATGTGGGATGCCTGCTCAGCATGGCTGATGAGTGGAGTAGGTCCACACTCAGGATCCAAACCTGTGAACCCCAGTCTGCCAAAGTGGAGTGCACAGAACTTTAACCACTCAGCCACAGGGCCAGCCCTAATAAGTTGTTTCTTTAATTGAAGAAAAAAGAAAATTTAGTCTTGAAAATGCTCACTGCCCCTTCACTTAGTCTCATTTTTTTCCATCCCAGACCTACTTCCTTAATAGCCATTTTTCCCTAAATACCCTGTAATCTGAGGCTGCTGCTTCTACCATTGTCATGTTATTTGTTTTGATAAAATCTGAGAGTGCATTCTCATTTCTCGGGTTCTTTGGCTTATCTGTGACACTTGCATTTTCCTTCATCTTCTCATCGCTTCCTCCGTGCTACTGTTCCTTCCTCCGAATACTGTACTTTGAGAGCTCAGTCACGTCCTTCTTTCTTGCCCCCAGTGGTAAGATCTGGCCCTTCAGCTGCTCTGTCTCAACAGTCTTCTAGTAGTGAACTGATAATGCTAGCTCCTAATTTTCTCTCTCAAATCTATTTCTAGTGCTAATTTCTCTCTCAGTCTCTCTAGTTGGATCCTCCTGAAATCACGAGGCAGCATGTCAAGCTGCCCCTGTCACCTATTCCAGTCTAGCTCCTGCCTTTCTTTTCTATCCAGGGAATACACCATTTCCCCGGGTTACTTAGCCTTGAAACTTGAGAGGCATCTTGGATTCTTCATTGTTCTCCACTTTCAGTTCATCACCAGTACAGGCTCTTCCTATTACTTTCTTGTTGCCATCCCATGCATCCAAACTGTTTTTTCTATTGGGCACTATAATCTCCTTCTTTCCTCCTTATCTCTGGTCCCCCTTTCTGCAGTTTATCCTTCACACAGTTCTGGCATTAGTGTTCCTAAATTACTACCTTCCTCATGTTACTTTTCTGCTCAAGGACGTCCAGGTACTTCCCATTGTTAATAAGCCGACATTGAACCCTTCAGTCAGGAGACTGTCGGCCATCTGACTCTACCTTTCCTTTCCAAACTTACCTCAAGCAGGAGACTAGACTGTCTTAACTGCTCTCTGAATGCTCTGTTCATTTTACACTCTTGAGTGAGCGTCATTCAGTTTGCCAGCTTAGAATACCACCCTTTCGACAGAAACCTAACCTTCAGACACTTAAGTTGGAAGAAAGTTAAAATATACATGTTGGACACATGAGTATTCCAGTCAAATTATTTCTGTAAAATACCAGATGGAGTGTAAACGAGATGCTGAAGGGCAACAGGGTGATGAAAGGACTTTATTAGACATTCAGACTTGGTTATGATTTAAATTTTAATTTAACATTTAATTAGGTTTCCATGGAGAGAAAAAAACAGGGAGTATTGTCTCTGTACAAAAATCATTCAGTATTGAGTCCATTTGCATTAGAAGAGTTTTATAGTTTAAAACTTTTGTAGCTTTACCTGTCCCTAGTGTATTTTCTTTTCTTAAGCATATTTGACTTTTTCTACCTGAGCATCTATGTAAAAAAATAATAATTTGTGTGTGTTCATTACCCTTTATTACTATTATTTTCTTCCATGCTTCATCACGAATTTTTGAAGCTGCTTTGTTCTTAAGCAATTACATGGACCTATTTTCATAGAATCCTCGACAGTTTTTAGTTTCACTTCCCCTTTGTTAAATTATGTTATACAGAAATTTGACAAGCCCCTGCAGTTGGGAAAAGGCTGTAGGAAACCCACCTTCCCAAAATCCCGCATGTTAACATGGCACTTGTGTTTCAAAGATCAGGGGTAGATATCATGGAAACCTCACCAAAAGCTGTATTATCTGTACCAAACCACTGCTGTTTGATTGATAGACTTTTACATAAACCTTACAGATTCCAAAAGCTGATCTCCTGCCTACTCCTTTTAGGGTTAAAAATATTGCCTTGTCAGTCAAATGTATAGTATGCCAATAGAAATAATATGCTTTGTTTGGTTAAAACAGTTGGTTTGGGAAGCCAGCAAAGTAGCATATTCTTTTACATATTTAATGAGATTTGTATTTTGGTTCTGTTATAAACTATATTGATAAGTTGCCAAAATCAGTACCAAGTGATTGGAATTGACTAATTTCTGCTTATTAAATATGTTTTTGATGTGCTGATAGTTAATTCATTTTATTGCATTTGTGAATTGTATTTTTGGAAAAATTCTGGGCATTCTTATTTAACATGCATATTTATAAGTTATTTATGCATATAATAATAATATATAATAAAAATGCATGTCTTTAACACACTGTGCCCGTAATTATTCAATATCCCTTTTTATGACAGATTGACTATATGAAAACCAAAACAAAAGTGAGCCGTATTACCTGGAGGAATAATTTCTGTCTTATTCCTGTTGCTTTTATACTCTATAGTAAAACAACAAAGTTTTTCAGCTATTATGGTGGCTGAAGAGGATACAATATACATGTGGTTAAACTGTGAGGAAAATTTGAAGAGGAAAAGTATGAAACATACTCTAATCATAACCAGTTGGCATTTTGTTATTAAGGATCTAAAGAATTTTATTGCATTTTACATACATATTATTTTAGAAATTCATGTCTGCTAGCTTTTCCTCCCACAATAAGAACACTCTGCTAATATCTATGTGGTACTGCTTTTTCTTCTTTGAGGTAAAATCTTGAAATGATCTTTAAATAGTTGGAAGTTTCATGGTCTTCCTATGGAAATTCAAATTAATATTTTAAATACAAATACAATAGAGTCTTTAATTTTGAAGAGTGAAAATGGAAGATGAATTACTATAGGATAGTTAACTTAAATGGAGAATATATATTTGAATAGTTTCAATGGACTTTGGATTATATGTCCAAACGTAGTTTTCTAGAATTTTTCTTATTAGCTCTTATTAATGATAATTTGAGGAAAAGGATCTAATTATAAGTGATCTGAGTTTTTTCTTTTTAGGGGAGGGATGTTGTATGTTGGATGCTGTTCTTTGGCAATAACTGTAAAAGATGTTTCTAAAAACTATGCAAAACTTTAAAAAATTTGTTTTAGATGAATAGTTAGAACTCTACACAGAAAATCAAGAATAATCTCAGGCTGCCTTTCCATTATCAGTCAAGCAAGTTTATTTTTAGAACATTTTCTTTTCATTCATTGGATATAAAGTCTGGGATTACAAATAGATGTTAATGGTTTTATAAGGTAAAAGTGGAGGGAAAATTTGTGTATCAAGTAGAAATTTTAGTAAACCTGAAGTACTTCTTGCTTACGTCCTTTTTGGAAAGATTTCTGAAATGCTGGAGTCCATTTTCCTGACTTAATAAGGCATTTTTAAAATTTAGTTCGGATGGTTTATATCTTTTAAACAGACTCTCTGTCATCCTTGTAAATATCAGTTATCAATATCAATTTCTACTTTTCTGAACTGCACAAATAGTCTTAAGGTATTTTTGTCTAAACTCAATCTCTATTAAAATTGACCTCTTTTCTTTACCCCTCATCCCCCCTCCCGCCCTTTAATCTGAATAACTGGAAGCTATAAATATATTTAAAAATTAATGTTTTAATTATAACATAACAATGTATAAAGTTAGTGAATTCTCTATTTAGAATAAGAAAGACTCATATTCACTTCTGATTACTGAAAGTGGCTACATGAATAAAATGACATTCCCTATAAGACAAGGATAGCTGAATGATTAAACTATGCCAAAGGAAAAAAGTTAGAGTCAAATCTTCCTTTTAATAAAGCTGATTTAGATCCTAACAAGATTAGGAAAAGGGAAAAAACTCACATTATACTTGTTGAATTTATGTTCAAAAGTGATTATTGAGATGTTTTATTTTTTATTTGTTTGTTATAGACAAATCCAAAACCCTAGTCTAAAAAAGAATTCTTATGCATTATTAAAAATGGTAGTAATGAAATCTGCATTGATGGTGGAGAAGAGTCCCACAAACGCTCAAGATTGGCATAACCTTTAACAAAGTGGAAAAACTTTTGTTAGAACTACCCAATTCTAGGTTCAAATTTATGTCAAAGCACTTTATGGTACCAGAATTAGTACAACTAATTTTTTTGGAGCTTTAAAATGTCATTTTTCACTAAATGAGTTTAAATGAGGTGTTTGACAGAGTTATTATTTGAGGCAAGGATTTGTACAGGTTTAGGAATCTTTGGCTTTGGTAAACTCTGTTTTTCCTATTTAGTGTGTCACATGCTTTTCAGAATAATTTATCCCAAAGTATGTGTTCCAACTTCTACCTAGTAATTTTTACACTTCAAAAATAATATCCCTGTTCAGTCACAGGGTTCTAAAGATGGTAAAATACTTTGTAATCTGAGTAACACTTTTTCTTAGGCAAAGTACTTCAGAGCATTTGCCTAATCCTTACATCATTCTTCTGAATTCATATAGAAATCAGTAATTATCCTCCTTAAAAAAGGAGAAAACTGAAGCACTGTAAAGTTAAGCTTCCAGCCCAAGGTCACAGAGTAACCAAGGTGAAAAATCTGGGTGTTCCAACTGCTGTTCCAGTGTACTTCTATTATTCGCATTACCTTGAATAAAATATGGCATTTAAAAATTTATGATGTCATAATGCTGGGTCTCTACTGAGCAGGGCTGCATAATGTTAAATTTTTAAAAGAAAAATTACAAACCCAGGCTTAAGTAGTAAAGGGATTAAGTACTGAAGATTTTTTTAAGATCATCGATGGCAGTACTTGTGAAATAAATTGCCTTACTAACAGTGTCATCTTGTCCTAGACAGCACTGATTAGAAAAAGTGTACAAAGAATGCTCTAAAGACTCATGGAACAATTATGGACTGTTAAGTTGGCACTAAGCTACACCACAATAAAAATCATACATATTGTATTGAATGTTGACACACAGAAGGGTGACAGGAGTTTTCAATAATGTATTTTAGAAAACTGTTCATTTTTTGCTCATGTTTATCTGAATGTAAGACCTGTAAAACAAAACAAGGAAGCATTGGCCACTGAGTCTTTTCATGTCCAGTATCCAAAAATCAGGCCTTTTTTTCCCTCCTGTTTGTGATGGTTATTGACAGAGCATTGGCTTTTCAGATGGTGCCAATCCTGTGATGAGGCACTTGAAGAGTCTGAAGGTTGGGGCATGTGAAATATGGAGCCGGAAGGAAGCATGCTGCTATTCCATTGGAAGCAAAAGGGAGTGTAGGCCCATAGAACACTTCTTCTTTGCCTTCTCGACTTACGTCCAGTACCTACAAAAGAAGAAGAGAAGCCTGTGCAGCAGAGATGATTGCTCAACATAAAGTTGTGAACACGTGAAAGGAAGCCTGCAGCTAAATTCAGTTATGCCACCGTGACCACACCTTAGGTGCTCTTATTTTTCTCACTAGTGTGATACCAGGAATATGTATTAAGTTCCTGCTAAGTGCTATGCTATACGGTTCTGTTTGTGCATGTACATATATACATACATATATTCATAATCATTTAATCTTCAGAACAGTGATGAGGTAGGTAGCATTATCTTCATTTCATAAAACTGCCTTAGACTGGTTAAATAACTTGCCCAAACTAGTTAGTAGGTATCGTCATCTATTGGCTTACAAATCCTCATCTACACAATGAAGAAAACAACACTGACCTTGCAGCTTTGTTCTAAAAATTGGTGACATGTAGCGCATTTCTAGCACATAGACTATTATAGCACAGCTTAGTAGGAGATCCAGAATCAGTTCAGTTGATTCTGGAAGTTTTTCCCCACTTATTTCCCCTATAAGCTGGAGTTCCATCTCTTCCTTTATGGAAAAGGATCTTGTCAGTCTGCTCTTGTTGCCACCTCACCAGATCTGGTTTAAGCTTACTACTAGAGAAATTCTTTCTTGAGGAAAAGCTGCTCATATCCTATTTGTCAGACCCATCAGGCTCTTTCCAGCCCTCAATCATCTTAATCGCTCTTCATCTGACCTTCCTCTAACCTCATTTAAAACCTTTCCTCCCTTGGATTCCGTGATTTGAAAGAAAATAAGTTTGCCATTGACATTGTCCTATTGCTATCCACCGTTGGTCCCTTTTCCTCTGCCTGCATCCTAAATGTAGGTGTGCCCCCATATTCCAGCCACAGACCTCTTGGTTCTCCTCTTTAATGCTCTTGTCCACTCTCATGCCTTCATCTGTCACCTAGGGGGATAATTCTTAAGCCTTGAACTGCAATAATATATTATTTTAGATGAAAGGGCCCCTTGAGATTTGGGGATCCAAGCTCATACAGGAGGAAATCACTAAGGCCTAGAATAAAAGAGAGATCAAACTTCTAGCTATTTTTTTCCCAAATGGACATTTAACTGTCCCATACCATTTATTGAACAATACACCTGTATTCTGTCTTAAAATATCTCTATATGCTATATACAAACTTTTTCTTTGTTCTCTTTTCTTGATTTATATATCTTCCTACAGTGCTGTGTTTACAGTTGTTTTGAATGGGCAGGGCAAGTCTCCCCCATTCACTTTCAAAAATTTCTTGGTTACTCTTACACGTTTACTTTCCTAGAAAAACTTTAAGATCAGTTTAACAAGTATCATTCCCCCACCCTGTGAGCAAAAGGAAAAATCCCAATGGGATTTTGATTAGTATTTTATTAAATATAGGAAGTAGAGATCTTTCAGTATTTACCTTTACTATATAAGGTTAAGTGTTGTCTTCAATTTACAGAGAAGAAAATTGAGATACAGAGAAAGTTCAGTGACTCGCTCAAGGTCACACAGCTAGTAAGTGGTAGAGCCAGTATTTGAGCTCAAGGTTGCAATCCAAGGGAAAAAGCAAAAATTTAGTGCCATACATGATATCCCCTCCCCAACTGAAAATATCTTTAGAAAACAAAATATCAGTTGAGGTCATCATCCAGAGTTTTTGTCTGGTTCCCTGGGCCAACAGAGACTGCATATGTTAAGCAGATGTAATTTATTTAATCTGTGAGAAGGGAAACGGAAGCGCTGGCAGTTTTTCTCCAAAACACTCCCCTGTAAACTGGCAGAAAGGAGGCGTTTGGGAGAAGGAGGTGCCAGCTTGGCAGTATATCCTCCAGCCAAAAGGAAGTAATCATAAATGAAGAGCAGTGGAGGTGATCTGGAACAGACTAATCACTTGCACTCTTATGCAGCTGCTCCCCTACATGCTGCTCATCATCCACAGCGCACCAGAGTGGTGTCAACCTCTGTGCCAGACATTCGCTTACACACCCACTGAATAAACAAGAGTGCCTCACTTTCCTCAGGAATCTATTTTTAATATTTTCTGTGAGTCTTTATTACTAACAAGTCCAAATCTCAATCTTTAAACAAGCATTAATTTAAGTGCATCTCAGCTTTTCTCTTGTTGGGACTGCCCTTATAATGGCTCAAGTAGTCTATGCTAGGTAAGGCATAGAAGGAAACAAAATAGTATGCTTTCCTAACATCTGACGTGCTTCATGCCTTTGTGGCTGAATCCTACCAATGACAGTTAAATAAGCTTGATTAGAGTCCAGAAGGGGCAGTCTAATGAGACAGATAATTATTGGCTGGTATTTTCAAGGGCAGAAAAAAACCCGACTTGAGTCTTTCTGGATGTTCACAGACCACTCTCTCAACTATTTAAGTGGGGTCTTCATTTATCTTAGCCTTGCCCTTAGAATCCAAGGGTTATATAGATTTGTGACTTATGAAAAATTTAGACTTCAATATTTTTAGTATGTTTATACTATTTTCTTCACTGCTCTTTCCAGTACTTTTCAACCTGCTGATTTGTACTTACCAATTTCTACCTTCTAATCAATCAATATTTTCTCATAAACACTATCCCAGTCTCCCATTATCTTCCTTCTCAGTTGGATATTCTTCCAGCAAGTAGTAAAGAAATGGCTTGCTTTTGAACGTGTAGCTAGTCTCTCAAACCATCGATATATTTTTGTTAGTGAACCAAAATAAATCATTCTGTAGACACCCATAAAATAAGGAAGTATTTGAGATTGTGCAACCATAGTTCAGAATGAATGGTAATATAATTTGTAGCCAGTTGTCAATAACTAAAATGAAAGTTATGATATATGATGAATCTATTATCCATGAAGACTTCCATTCCAAACATCTCTTTAAGTGACAAGCCATAGGTTTATATGGACATTTACTATCTATAAACATTAAAGGCTCTTAAAAGCCTTTATCAAATTTATCTATGTTTTGTAGGACCAGTGTGCCAACAAAGGGAATAAACATAGCATTTCCAAAATGATTAATTTTGTACATCAAAATGGCTTCTGGAACACAGAACTACACATAATGCTGACTTGACTTAAAAGGCAAATATATTAGAATATTTTACTGTCCCATCTCAGAGGTGAAATTTATTCCACTAATAAATTGATTAAAACATTTATGAATCACCTCTTCCAGAATCACCTTAATCCTGAGGTTACTCTGAATATATTCAGTAGTTTAAAAAATATATATGTATGCCTTCATCTTTTGAGGACAGATTTACTTATTTGAGAACACTCAAGTCATAAGGAGTTAGTGTATACGATCAGTGATCATTCTAACTTGATTTCTATTCCTTGAGGTAATTTAACATTAAAATTAGTAGAAATATACCCATAAGTATATTTAAAATTTGCATCTTCATAATAAACCAAAGCTTGCTTCCGTTGTGCAACTACTCAAATGAAGGGTCCCAAAGCCACTTAAAAACCAGGGTTCCAGCATTACAGAGCATTGCCTATTGCCCAGTTCAATGTTTTACAATTCTGAAAAGTAAAAAATAAAAAGAAACCCAAAAGACAGTGAATATTGACAAATACATGCTTGGATGAAAGACTAAAAGCACTCCTTGAAAGAAAACAGCTGTTTATTGTTATCCAAAAGATTGCCCAACGTCTAGTATAAGGCAGCCTTCAATTAACTAGACTCCCTTAAAGATTTTCATGCTTTTTCAAAAAACTAACTTGTGGCTTTGATAATTTTTTCTACTGTATTATTGTTTCCTAGTTCATTACTTTCCTCTCACTCTATTTTCTTTCTACTTTGAGTTATGTTTTGATTCATGTCTAACTTATTAAGTTACATCCCACAAGCTTTACTAGGTATTTTCATTATCACTCAGTTCTGGGTATTTTTTAAAACTTCCATTTGACTTTAACCCATAGTTATTTAGCAATGCGTTTTACTATTTCCAAATATATAAAGGTTTATTTAACTTTTTGTTAAGTTCTAACTTAATTGCATTGTAGTTAGAGATCTTAGTCTACATAATACTTAATTTTTGAAATTTATTAAAGTTTTCTTAACCTTAACCCTAGTACATGATTGATTTTTGTAAATGTTCCATGTATGCTTAAGAAAAATATATTCTGAAACATTCTCCAGGATAGATCACATGTTCGGCCACAAAACAAGTCTTAATAAATTTAAGAAGACTAAAATCATATCAAGCATCTTTTGCAACCACAATGATATGAAACTAGAAATCAATTACAAGAAGAAAATTAGAAAATTCACAAATATGTGGAGATTAAACAACATGCTACTGAACAACAGATGGGTCAAAGAAGAAATCAAAAGAGAAATCAAAAAATATCTTGAGACAAATGAAAATGTGAATACAACATATCAAAACTTATGGGATGCAGCAAAAGCAGTTTGAAGAGGGACGATCATAGTAATAAATGCCTATATTAACATAAAAAGAAAGAGCTCCAGTAAACAACCTAACTTTACTCCTGAAGGAACTAGAAAAGGAAGAAAAAACTAAACTCAAAGTTAGTGGAAGGAAAGAAATAGCAAAGATCAGAGTGGAAATACGTGAAATAGAGATGAAAAAGAAAATAGAAAAAAGTCAGTAAAACTAAGAGCTGCGTTTTTGAAAAGATAAAATAGACAAACTATAGCTAGATTCACCAAGAAAAAAAGAGTGAGGACTGAAATAAATAAAATTAGAAATGAAAGAGGAGACATTATAACTGATACCATAGAAATACAAAGGATCCTGAGAGACTACTATGAACAGTTAAATGCCAACAAATTGGCCTTCGCAGAAGAAATAGATAATTCCCTAGAAACATACAACATGAGACTGGATCATGAAGAAACAGAAAATCTGCCCAGACGAATTACTAGCAAGGAGACTGAATCAGTAATCAAAAACCTCCTGACAAAGAAAAGTCCAGTACCAGATGGTTTCACTGGTGAATTCTACCAAATATTTAAGGAAGAACTAATACCAATTCTTCTCAAACTCCAAAAAATAGAAAAGGAGGAAACACTCCCAGACTCATTTTACAAGGCCAGCATTACTCTGATACCAAAACCGGACTACCACACTACAAGAAATGAAAATTAGAGGCCAATTTCCCTGATGAATATATATGGAAAAATTCTTAACAAAATATTAGCATGCCAAATTCAACTGTATATGAAAAAGATCATACACCATGATCATGTGGGATTTATTCCAGGGATACAAGGATGGTTCAACATATACAAATCAATCAGTGTGATACACCACATTAACAGAACGAAGGATAAAAATCATATGATCATCTCAATAGATGCAGAAAAAGCATTTGACAAAATTCAGCATCCATTCATGATTTTAAAACTCTCAACAAACTATATCGAGGGAACGTACCTCAACATAATAAAGGCCATATATGACAAACCCACAGCTACATCATACTCAGTGGTGAAAAGCTATTCCCCTAAGATTAGGAACAAGACAAGTATGCCCACTCTTGCCACTTTTATTCAACATAGTACTGGAAGTTCCAGCCAGGGCAATTAGGCAAGAAAAAGAGAAAAGACACCCAAATCAGACAGGAACAAGAAAAATGGTCTTTATTCACAGATGATATGATATTACATATTAAAAAACCGTAAAGACTCTACCAAAAAACTGTTAGAACTAATCAACAAATTCAGTAAAGTTGCAGGATACAAAATCAATATAAAGATCAGTTGCGTTTCTCTACACTAACACTGAACTGTCAGAGAAATTAAGAAAACAATCTCATTTACAATTGCATCAAAAAGAATAAAATACCTGGAAATAAATTTAACCAAGGAGGTGAAGGATCTTACACTGAAAACTGTGAGACACTGATGAAAGAAACTGAGAAGACACAAATAAATGGAAAGATACTCTATGCTCATGGATTGGAAGAACTGATGTTGTTAAAATGTCCATACTACTGAGAGTAATGCAATTCCTATCAAAATTCTAATGGCATTTTTCACAGACAAAGAAAAGAAATCCTAAAATTTGTATGGAACCACAAAAGACCACAAATAGCCAAAGCAATCTTGAGAAAGCAGAATAAAGCTGGAGCCATCGCATTTTCTGATTTCAAACTATATTACAAAGCTATAGTAAACAAAACAGTATGGTATTGGCATAAAAACAGACATATAGACCAATGGAACAGAATAGTGAGCCCAGAAATCCAGGCATATATGGCCAATTAATTTATGATAAAGGAGCCAAGAATATACAATGGGGGAAAGGATAGTCTCTTTAATGATTGGTGTTGGGAAAACTGGACAGCCACATATAAAAGAGTGAAACTGGACCCCTATCTTACACCATACACAAAAATCAACTCAAAAGGGATTAAAGACTTGAACATAAGACCTAAAACCATAAAACTCCTAGAAGAAAAGATAGGGGGGTAAACTCCTTGACATTGGTCTTGATGATGATTTTTTGGATTTGATACTAAAAGCAAAGTCAACAAAAGCAAAAATAAACAAGTGGGACTACATCAAATTAGAAAGCATCTGCACAGCAAAACCATCAACAAAATGAAAAGGCAACCTACCAAATGGGAGAAAATGTTTGCAAATCTTATATGTGATAAGGGGTTAATATCCAAAATATATAAAGAACTGATAAAACTCAACAGAAAAAAACAATCCAATTAAAAAATGAGCAGAAGATCTGAATAGACATTTTTCCAAAGAAGACACAGATGGCCAACGGGTACATGAAAAGATGCTCAACATCACTAATCAACAGGGAAATGCAAATCAAAACCACAATGAGATATCCCCTCACACCTGTTAGAATAGCTGTCATCAAAAAGACAAGAGAGAATTGCTGGCAAGGATGTGGAGAATGGGAATCCTTGAGCGCTTTTGTCAGGAATGTAAATTCATGCAGCCACTTAGAAAAGGTACAGAGGTTCCTCAAAAAGTTACAAATAAAACTACCATATGATCCAGCAATTCCACTTCTTGGTATATATCCAAAGGAGACAAAATCACCATCTGGAAGAGATATCTGCACCCCCATGTTCATTGCAGCATTATTTACAATTGCCAAGACATGGAAACAACCTAAGTGTCCATTGATGGATGAATAGATAAAATGTGGTGTGTGTGTGTGTGTGTGTGTGTGTGTACACAGTGGAATATTATTCAGCCATAAAAATAAAGAGATCCTGCTATTTGCAACAACACGGATGGCCCTTGAGAACACTATGCTAAGTGAAAAGTCAGACAGAGAAAGACAAATACTGTATGATATCACTCATATGTGGAATCTAAAAAAACTGAACTTATAGAAACAGAGAACAGATTTGTGGTTGCCAGAGGTGGGGGGGTGAGTGGTGAGAGAAATGGGTGAAGGAGTGAAAAGATACAAACTTCCAGTTATAAGGTGAATAAGTTCTGGGGGTGTAATGTACAGCATTGTGACTATAGTTAACAATACTGTATTGTATATTTGAAAGTCGCTAAGCAAGTAGATCTTAAAAGTGCTCATCACAAGCAAAAAACTTTTGTGACTATGTGAGGTGATGGATGTTAACTCAACTTCTTGTGATTATTTAGCAATATACACATATATAAAATAATTGTTGTACACCTTAAACTAATACAATATTAAATGTCAATTACATCTCAGTAAAACTAAAAAAAAAGAAAAATATGTCTTTTCTAACTGTTCCATCTAGAACTTACATGCGTTAGGACAAGTTTGTTGATTATGTTGTTCTTATCTATGCTACCCTCACTGATTTAAATCTACTTGATCTGTATCAATAATAGAAGTATGTTAAAATCGCTGGACAAACCTCCGGCAAGACAAATCAAGCAAAGAAGAGAAAAAGCAAACAATATTATGAATGTGAAGGGGGACAAAACTAAAGGTAATAAATAACTATATGCTAACAATGTTGAAAACTTAACACAGAAAACTTTCTTGAAAAAATATATATACCCTATGAGATGACACTGAAGAAGAAATCAGAAGCTTCAATAGTCCTGCCAACTATTAAAGATATGGACACAATTGCTAAAAATCTTCCCACAAAGATGAGAGTAGATACTATGAGTAGTTATAAGCATATATTTTTCTGGAGACCAGGAGAAAGGGCCAGGGCTAATACATGTCAGTATGTTATCAGAGAACATGTAAAATAGAAAAATAACTATGGTAAGAATTGTAAAAAACAAAAACAAAAGATAGATAATAATACCTTGAATATGTATATCAACAAAAGCTACTGCTGTTCTGAAAGGCCCAAATGGCAGTTTGCCCAGCCAGGCTGCTCACATGTTGATGTGGCCAGGGCTATTCTTTGGGCTGAGGCTGTGCCTGTCAGACCAACCATAAACCACTACTGCTCACCTCTGTCAGGAAGGAAGAACACCCTTGTAGGTGGCATTTATGGAGATAAACAAATTGCAATATAGAAATTAAGGAAATGGAGTGGAATGGAGACATCTGCAAAGTTTTGGGGGTGTGAAAGTATTATTACCAACGATTTCTAGACTTTTTGGTTTATGAGAAAAGGAAAGTAGCTTTCCCCCGTTCCAGTATATATTACATATATTTTCAAACCTCATCCTCGTCTTTATTTCAATAGGGCTCTGTCATTTATTAAGCATCATTTTTAGGATGCAGGAGGAAGTTGAGTGGCTGAACTAGCTGCACAAAAGGAGCTCAAGCCTTTCTACATGTAAATATCTTTTCCTTCAGTCGCAGCAGTGCAAAAAGTAACCTCTGTGAACCACAGGAACAAACTTCAAAAGGAACTTCAACCACTCACCTGGATACAAGCCAGAGGCTCATTTGTCCAAATCGAATATCCACCAACTAAATATATTCTTTCATTATGGACAGCAAGTCCAGATTCATTTTGGCCTAAAGTAAAAAGAATTGAATAAAAAGAAAAAATAAATCTATTTCCTTGCATGTCTTAATTAACCCTTTTGCCACTGAGGGATACCGTTTCCCCCTGTGGCACACTTGTATCCTCCACAGGATTTCTGCAGCAACTAATCACTGCCTCCCAGTACTCAGAGGAAGAATTAACCACTATTTCTCAGAGAATAAATCCGCGTCAGGTCAGAACCAGGCCATAACACTTATTAGCCAGCCACATGAGGAAATACAGCATTAAATACAGCAATAATAAGCCATATAGAACTAGAGTTTTTTACTATGTTGTATGCCATTAATTTATAGCAGTGGAAATAAGGTATATTTTAGAAATGCAAAACACCTCTTGTACCTACAAATGCTTTTAACGCAAGTGCTTACATTTGTAAAGTAACAACTGCAACCCCAAGAAGCCAGTAAAACACAGCCATGCCCCTAGCATGCCCCAAATGAAGACAAATGACAGGAAAGATTGATAAAGTTACTACCCTCCCTTTCTTTACATACGCAACAGTTTTAAGACTATATTAAAGTTCCTGAGCCGGGACCAGCCTGGATAGTCCCTAGATACTGACATGCCAAAATGATGAAAGGTTCCTCCCCCACTTAAAAAAGAAGACAGAATAACTGACTACCAGATATTCTTCCCTGGAGGCCATCAGAGACTGAGATAGTCTCTTTTTATTGATGGGCTGACACAGGATTGACTGGGGTAATAAATAAGCTGGATCCTATAGCAGAAAAAATCACCAATCCAGAGACCAAGGGGCTAAGGGATCACTACAGCAACTTAGAGAGAGTTAAGTACTTGTAGGTGGCCTCAAAAATCATTTTTGCAATAACAGGAGCTCAATACAAAGCATCTAAAGCTCTCACGTTGGTTATGCTCCCAATGGTCCTCCCCAGCAGCAGCTGTGAGTGACTGAGTGCCCACTCAGCATATTAAAATGTCTCCAGGCACTAGTCCAGCCCACCATTGTGAGTTTGTGATTTTCCTATTAGTAGAGCAGTCTGGAAGGGATCTGATCACATGTGGATGTTAATAACGCAAACTAAGAAGGGAGAAAAAGCTTTCAACTCCATAAAGAAATGTCAAGGGTAAGCTGTTCACTGCTTTCCTTTCATTTGGCTTTTGGGATGAGGATGTCCATACCACGTGCCCATGCTCATGCTTGGATGGGGATGTGTGGCCAGAAATGCTGCCAAACCTCTATGCACAGAACTGCTCTAAGATTTAGTCTTTAGGAGAATACAGCCAGAAACAATATTTGACAGTGATAAATAATAAAGACCATTCTCCTGACCTCACAAGAAATAAGATGACTAAAAGTAGTGAAAAGTAAAAAGTAAACTGCTTCTGTAAAGAGTTATTAACACTTTCAGCGCCTAGTTCCTCCCACATGTATCAAAGTTCCTATGTGAATGTTGATTGACAATAATGGACTTGACATGCCTCTCTTAGCCACGTGAGAAGACGCACAAAAGTAATACAGCTCCTGAGAAACGAGGTGCTTAGCTACCCGATCGAGTCAAATTGTGAGATAAATAATGTGCACCTTTATGGTTAATTAAAGGAAGTTGGGGGCCGGCCCTGTGGCACAGCAGTTAAGTGCACACGCCCCGCTTCTGGCAGCCCGGGGTTCACCAGTTCAGATGCCAGGTGCGGACATGGCACTGCTTGTCAAGCCATGCTGTGGTAGGCGTCCCACATATAAAGTAGGGGAAGATGGGCATGGATGTTAGCTCAGGGCCAGCCTTCCTCAGCAAAAAGCAGAGGATTGGCAGTAGTTAGCTCAGGGCTAATCTTCCTCAAAAAAATAAAAATAAAAATAAAAATAAATAAAAGCAAGTTGTTCTACCACCATGCACTTAAGACTTAGAGATGCACTAAAGATGTGTGAGAAAACAAGTTTGGCAACTCCTTGAATCTCTGCTTTTCCTGATTTACTTAATCAAAGGTACTTGCCAGTCAACAGGTTGAAATTACAACGCGTCCACTGGTCAGTGTCTATGTTATAAGAATCTATATGCCGCACAAGGATCCGGTCGTTATTGTAGTCCAGGTCATTGCCTCCAAGAACATAAAGCTTCCTGTGGACAGCAGCCATGGAATGGTAGACCCGTCTCTGCAGCATGGGACTGCGGCTTATCCACTTATTCTGAAAAAAAAGAAATTCAGGTGAATCCTGTTAATAGAAGAACACTGGCAGAAAACATCAGTGCCTCATTAGTAGAGGGGACCCTAACATTTGTCAATCACATTCTATTTGAATGTTGTTTATATGCTTTGAAAGGTATGGGCCTCTTACCTGAGGACAAGTGCAGAAGAACCCACATATTCCAACTCTTGCAATTTACATAAGGCATTTCCTCATGTTTGGGTTGTATTTTATAGGGGATTTTGCACTTGTAAGGGGATCATATGAGGATATAGAAATCTTTGTGATGGATATCTCACCCAATTCAGAGAACTTACTCATGCAAATTTCTTAAGGATGAAAGTGCATGGCTAGGTATACTGTGCACAGTGGTGTCATTAAGAAAACAGGCTCTGGATCCACAATGCCTGAGGTATAACCTGTGTGTGACCTTGAGCAATTTGCTTAACCTTTCTGTGCCTGTTTCCTCATCTGTAAAATGGAGATAATAATATCTACCTGACAAACCTGTTGGGAAGATTAAATTAGCTAATATACATAAAGCATTTAGAACAGTGCTTGACACCTAATAAATGTTCACTTTAATAAAATTATTGTGACAATAATCACTGGCTGCCCAAGGCCCCTGTGTAAGCTAGGGTGATGCTGATTTTGCTGCTCTTTCCCAAATTAACCTCTGAGCTCAAGATTTGATTTAGCAACAAACTCCCTCACTGCCACTGTCTCAGCTTCCTTTAATATACTCATGATCATGTCTTCCGCCAAACTGGGAACAGTTATTTCTAGGCACACTTTTGTTTTGGTAGAAGGCCAAATTTTATATGATAATTTTAGGGAATAGTGAAACTTCTAATATTTGGTTCTAGGTTGATCTCAATAAGGAGAGAGGTATGTTCAACCCCTCTTAAATAAGGCTCCTATTTAAATGATAATGTAAAATTAGATGAAAAGCAAATATGACTTTAATTTTAAATCTTAACTAAGTAATGAACAGGTAAGTAAACCTAACCATTTCCGTTCTACGTAAACACTAACATACAGGAAGATCTCAGACTCCTTTTTGCCAAGACAAATTTGGATTTCAACCAGAAAAATCATATGATGTTTTGAATACACAGAATTTCACCAGTTCACAAAGCTGTAAAGGAAGAAGAAAAAAAATATTTTGTATAAATATTGGTCCATTCACTACAGGCATATCTACTACCTCATTTCTAATTTCTCTTTTTTTAAAGACACACTTTTTATAAAAGTAGTTTATACAGTTTGAAAGGCTTGCATTTATCTGCTCCCTCTTTTTAAACAGGTCATAATAAGCATCTCTTTCCAATTAGTCTTCTTTAATAAAACAGTCAAACCTTTCTTTCAGATATTCTACTAAGAAATATCTTTAATACATTACACATGAGTGGATTTAACTCAAAACTCTGATGATGCTTTCCTTAGGTGCTTTCTATGAGGCAAGCCATTACAGTATTAGGAATCAATGTTTGCATTAGCAGTCTGGTCCCTTGTCACAGGACTATGGACGCCATCTGGTTTGTAAAGCCTTCCTGCATCCCCTGATTATATCTTTAGCTTCCTTCACTGCCATGCCTGCCAGGTGAGCCGCCAACCGCTGCAAAGGCAAAGAAACAGAGAGGCCTAGTGGGGTCATTCCTAATAAGCTAGCGTGTGAATACTAATCAGTGGTGGGGAAGCAGAGGTCACCCCAGCCTGCCTGTTGGCAGGTAGCAATGTGCTCTGTGGCAGATGGCAGGCATTATCGACTCTCCACAAAGGCCTAGAAGAGAAATAAGCACCAGGGCTGAATGATAGAGTTATTGAGATTCTGAGCAAGATGCAAGCAGATGTGATGTTTGCCAGTACCCACCGTAAACAATATGCCAGCAGAATTTTTAAAAAGAGCATGTGTGTACAAACATGAAACAGAACTCATTTGAGAAATGTTAACACCTTCTTCCTCTTTAACCACGTGTGCACCGAACTCAAGCCACTGCAATTAATGATCCCTCTTGAGACATCTGGCCCATGGACATGAAGTCTCCAAAATCTACAGCTTCTAATGACACCAGGAAACACACTTGCAAAGAGAGAAATACCTTTGTTAAATTCAGAATCAACTAATTGCTAAAATAAAAAGATACCAAATAGACTGAGGTCACTCTGGACATACATTTGGGGACCAATACTGACCCAGACTGCCAAAGGCAAGCTCTTGTTTCATGTTCCATTATCTTCAGTTGATGAATATTAAACCCCAAAATCAAATCATTTTGGAATATTGTCATCATCATGAAAAATATTTACATTACCAAAATCACAGAAATGGCAAAATTCAGCAAACATTTGCCAAGGTCACAGATATTTTGGTAGAAGGAAAAAATAAAAATGGCTCTTTTGGGGGGAAAAAAGTCATTAGTGTGCATGAGAAGTGGACAGAAGAAGGGACAGGCACCACCAAAATGCTTCCAGTTCAGGCCCAAGCTGTAGATGAAAAACAAACTCTTCCGATATTTCTACTTCAGACTTGTCCTAGGCACTGCTGTAGCACACTTTAGCTATACGGAGTTAAATAAAAGTTATTGTTTTATTTGACAATAGTGAAACCATAAGCCTGTTCCCCTCCTAGAATGACACGCTTTCTAAAAGGACAGAGCAACAGGACAATCAAAATCCTTTCTTTGGATGCATCTGAATATGGATAGCCACTTGAGATAACGGAAATAAAGGGCATTTAACTGATCAACGTATTTTCCCATATTTTACATTATGCAAAACTCTGAAAGAGTTAAGCATTGTGTATAGCAAAAAACTAAAGGAGCTGAAATTTTGTGTGAAAAAAAGGCAACCAAAGAGCACTTTATCCAGATGCTTCCTTTTCTCTATATAAGTTTAAGATGCATGTGTGTGTAGAGACCTGGCATTGCAACTACTAATTACTGTGGAAATCTTTTAAAATTCATTTTAATTAAGGTAATGAGCTTTTCTTATATGATTCTTACCTGGTTAGGTTCATATACCATTAGTCTGTTCTGATATTGTGCCGTGTTAGTTACTCCACCTGTAATGGATTAACACGTGTTAGAGCTTTCATGAATAAGAAACAGGATATTCCAAGATAAGAATGAGATACAATTAAAGGAAAATTAGCTACTGCTGAGGATCTGTTTGTATACCCTTGTGGTGAACCCAGGACATAATTAAGAAGCTTATTGTTGAAGCAGTTTCATTTTCAAGAAACATTTCAGAAGCAATCCAGTTGAGAGCAAGCAACAAGTGTGCTGAGATTATCAAGAGCCCTCCAATTCTGGCAAGCTGTTCTGCATGGCCAGAATGAGGGGCAAAGTATGGACAGGGAGTGGGAGCGGACAAAGCATACACAGACAAGTCTCTACACAATTTATACCAGGGATATAGTTATATGGAAATTTCTTGTCCTTAGCTAAGTTGGCAATTTTACAGCTCTAACCTTCTGCACACTAACACAGTGATAGCTTGATATCTCTTTGGAAGGAACCATATCTAAGAAAAGACATTAATTCTCAAAACGGATCTAGAGCCAGTGCTGTCCAACAGAATATAGTGAGAGCCACAAATGCAAGTCACATATGCAACTTTAAATTTTCCAGTAGCCACGTTAAAAAGCAAAAAGAAATGGTAAAATATTAAACAATGTAAATTTTATTTAACTCAATAGAGGCAAAATATTATCAGTTCAACAGGAAATTAATATAAAAAATGACTGAGATATTTTATATTCTTTTCTTCACAGTATATCTTCAAAATTCAGTGTGCATTTGACACAGCATATCTCAATCCAGATTAGCCACATTGCAAATGCTCAATAAGCCACATATGGCTCATGGCCACCATACTGGGCAGCACAAATCTGGAGTACCAGCAGTACAGCTGCTATTGTCCTCAACTTTTTTGAAGCCTCTTGACAACTGCTTAGATCCAAAAGACTCGAGACCTTCTGCTTAATCAAGAACCACTAAAAAACCATCACACTTCTAGCTAAGTTTCTCCTACGTGTCCTCATACTTCTTTCCATGTTTGTGGTATACACTGAGCCCTGTAAAACCCAAAAATTACTGATTCTACTTTAATTTTTACCATCAAATGGAAGAAGTAAGAAACAACACATAAAACAGCACAGTGGGAAAATAACACTAGGAGATATTAAATGTTAGGTAATAAAATAACAAGAATATGAGAAAAAAAAATCCCCAAAAACCAATCTTTAGAAATATTGCCTCATATATAGTTCTAGATACTGGTCTAAAATGAGTAACATTCTTATTTCAGTATCACAAAGAAGCAGCTAATTTTGCATTAAGGATCTAAAATTGAGCCAGACTAAAAAAGTTTCTTATTAAAATTTTTTGCATTTAAAAAATGTGTACTGTTACAATACTGACCAAGACAGCCTTAACATTCCCCTCAGCTTAACTAAACTTTAGACAGGCTTCTTCCTGTGTCTAGGCCCCTGAACTCCCTTTTCTTGGAGCATTTATTTTAGAAGACTTGTACAGTCTTTCTCTGCCTCTCTGAGATGTAAATCATTTATGAAGACCTGGAAGCCATACTACTGAAATGTAATCGTCAAGGAAAATAATGCCCCTCTCACCCATTTCCTATGAGCTATGAACGGCAGGAGCCTAACTTTGATGGGTGCCAGTCAACAAACACAAATGGCCCAATCACAGAGAAAAACATTTACAAACTTAGGGATAAATGAATGTGCTCAACCCATCACATTGATCAACCCTCCTCCAAAAGTCCTTCAGTACTTTTCCACTAGCTCACTCCAAGAGTTAAAAACCCTCCTCCCTCAGGGCTGGCCCCCTGGCCAAGCGGTTAAGTTCGAGTGCTCCCCTTCGGTGGCCAAGGGTTTCGCAGGTTCAGATCCTGGAGGCAGAAATGGCACCGCTCATCAAGCCATGCTGAGGCGGCATCCCACATGCCACAACTAGAAGGACCCACAACTAAAAAAAATACACAACTATGTACTGGGAGGCTTTGGGGAGAAAAAGGAAAACTAAAGTCTTTAAAAAAAAAAACCCTCCTCCCTTTTGTTTCTCAGAGGAGTTGATTTCAGACTGTATTGTGGCCCCTCTCCCCCAGTGTAATAGTCTTGAATAAAATCTTCCTTGTCTGTTTAACTTTGTCCAGTATAATTTTTGCTTTGACAGTACAAATATTTTGACTAGATCACCACCATCTACTCTATGGCCAGGAGTCAAGTCAACTAGCATCCAGGGGATTCTCAAATGAGCTGGAATAATCAATCAATATTAATGGATGCATAAAGGGGAGGGGGCCTGTTCAGGCTAATCATTGCTCTCTCATTCAACCCCAGTAAGGAGATAATATCTTTCAAGTAATTGACCATGGCTATTATTAACTGGAGGGCTTTTTTTTTTTTTTAATTCTCTCTGAAGCTTGCAACCACTTTTAAAATCAATGAAAGCTTTGTCTGCAGAGGAAATCACAAAGAATAGAGAGAAATGAGCTTCCTGCCCTCAGAGAAAGTCTTCTCTGCATTTTTCATTGAATGTCTTTTTTAAAATGAAATCAAAGGAAAAGAAACACACTTAAGAAAGCTGAGGCTGAAATGCCTACATAGAGTCAAAACGTGTCAAAATAAATACAGAGGTGTGTTTGCTCTTTCCTCCCAACCTTCATTTTCTTAGCTGATTAAAAATTGAATGTCCAATAATTCTTTCTCAGCATAACTACACAAGAAAAATCAAATCTATCGAGACCTCACAAGTCTTCAGGGTTAAAATGATTGCCAAGTGCTTTTGATCTGGGCCATAACCATCAGATTAATGTCCAGCTCGCCTATAATCATTTCTCCAAATGAGAGGGAACAGAGGGTAAGCTCTCACTCATTATTTCAAAACTTTGATGGTTTCTCTACTTGTTTTAGAAATATGGGACAGAATTAATATCCACTGCAGTAAACTATCTGTTTATGACACTATTTGAAAATATTTACACTACTATATGTATCAGACTCTGTCCATCATACATTAAATGTACAACCATTGGATTAGAATGTAGCTATTACATCTTCTCACCCAAGCAGGGCACCCAATTTATCTTCATGCTCTTCAGAATTATTATTTCCTGTCTTCCGCAGATGCATTTATAATCGTTTTTTTCTTAATCTGCACTCAGTAATTAGATTCCTACCCTCACATACAAATTTTCACTCACATGACAATGTTTAGAAATGAGATACTGGGTTACTAGTTGGGAGTAAAAATAAAAGTCCTGGTTAGTTATTTGGTTGATTACTTCTAGCGTGTGAAACCACAGGAGGTGCCTAAAAAACCTCGTGCTGTAACTTTTGCCAAGTCAGGATTACAAGGGAAAACCTGAGAAATTGGTTCTATTGCTTTTCTCCTTTGAAATAATTTACAAATAAGCATATAAATAAAAAACCATTTCTTCTCAGTACAAAAGATAAATTTTTTAAAAAGCATCCAACTTTGCAGCCCCCATTTCTTCAGCAGCGTTCTTCCTTTGCAGTGCTTTATCATTACATTCCCTTCACATAACACTCTTCACTTTTAGATTAATCTGCTGAAATGAGATGCTAAGGATTTGCATACAGATTTGACTATACAAAAATAGATATGGAATTAATAACAGTCTCTATATGTTTTAATTTCTCCTAGACTGGAGTACCCTTGCCTGCAGCAGTATTCCTGGCTTTGAAAGTCATCAAGCTGATTTGTCTGCTCTGGGTTATGATGCCACATGCTGCTATACTGTCCCCTGCAATCAAAGCACTTGCAAAGATAGATTCCATGCCTTCCTCTATCGAGGATATTTTATAGATTGGCAGTTTTGATCTCCCTCCCCCACCCCAGGGGGGATAATCTGCATCTTAACAGCTTTCCATAGATACATCTGTCATTAAGTATGCCATCTCGTATCTGCATCCATTTTTAAAGCCAAGTTTTCCCTAACTTTGAAGTGCCACAAAGTTAAGACTTTTCAGCCAAAATTGAAAATGAACAACCTTGTCTTATACTTTTGAACTGTGACTTAAAGATATACTGGAGGTTCCCCCAAAGTCAAGTAAGTCTTTAAAAACTGCCAGAAGGAATGAAAATTTACCACCACGCTACCAGCAGTGAGAAATGCTTTCTATCATCCAGACAAGAGTAAAGCATTTTTCTTAAGCTTCCCTGTTCAGCTCCCCACAAAATGTTGTGACAAATGGATGAATGCATACCAGAGAAAGAATGACAAGTGACTGCCAAACAGGCAACTTTTGTCTCCACAACTGAGAATTCACCAACTCCCAAACTCATTGTGTTCAAAAGCAACAACTGGTCAATGCTGATAGTGTCTATAAAGTTGTGTGTTTAGAAAAACAGCCCTCAATATACGTTGGTCAGGGTAAGTCAAGTCTGGTGACTCTGCTAATTTTTTTTCAAAGACAGAAATGCCTCTGTAGATAAACAGAGTCCTGCACTAAACTCTTCAGTAGAAACCTGTGGTACCCAATGCAGCACCAGTATCCTTACTGGGACAGAGCAGGATGCAAAGAACTGACTGAGTCCATGCTCTTCCGGAAGACATTTCAGGCTGGGATTCTGCCAGCCAAGTCAGGATTGTGGAAAACCATCTCAAGTTCTCTGCGACCCCCTTGGAGGCCTGCAGTGCCCAGCTTCACACTATTCTACGGGGAGCGTTTTGGGACAGCCTGTAGCATCAACCCCACACAGGCTCCTTGATGACTATCATTGCGGGAGCCATTAACACAGCTAAGCTCAGCTTCCTCATGCAAAATGGAGATGATGACATCTCTCTCATAGGTTTTAGATGAACTGGCGTGCATGGTGTAGAGGCAATCCATAAAGGGAAGTTTCTCCAATACTGTAGTGGTTTGTTTATGGAAATATCTTATGATTTCCATAAAAGGTACAAATGAGTACATATGGGATATTAAAAAAAATAACTACGTATGGAATATGGAATTAATAAATGAATGAATTTTGTAGTCTGAAATGCATTTCTTTCTTTTTTTTTTTTGAGGAAGATTAGCCCTGAGCTAACTGCTGCCAATCCTCCTCTTTTCCCTGAGGAACACCAGCCCTGAGCTAACATCCATGCCCATCTTCCTCTACTTTATATGTGGGACGCCTACCACAGCACGGCTTGCCAAGCAGTGGCATGTCCACACCTGGGTTCCAAACCGGTGAACCCCGGGCCGCCGAAGCGGAACATGCGAACTTAACTGCTGCGCCACCGGGCCAGCCCCCTGAAATGCATTTCTTATAATTCTTTTTTCTAATAACCAGAATTACTGGCTGCTTCATAAGGGTATCAAAGGCTTTTTCCTTCTTTAATAGTTTAAGCCTCTCCTCCGTAAACTTGCTCCAATTCTCAAAAGATTAAAACTCTACACTTGCAGTCTAATTATCAAAAGAATGACCTGGCATTAAGTGTGTCTTCATATACATCATTTTTTATAGAGCCAAACTCGTTATTAGTCCTTGATAAAAGGGACACCATGGGAATGCTTATAATAAATGCAAAAATAAACGTTTTTATTAACTATTTATATAAGACATTAGGCTGTCTATATTTTTGGAGTGTTTATAATGCTACATAAACAATTAAAGAATCTTTCTACTAAATTAGTTATCTTGAATTGAAGCATACTTAATCCATGCATTAAATTAAAACTAGTATCCATATTATTTCTGTCACACTTGAGAAAGCCACACAAATGGATGGGTAATTAATATCCTCAAAATCTGCAAAGAACGTCTCAAATTTACAAAATATCTATAAAGAAAGGGTTGATGCACTTGAAAACACAAATTATATTTATGTCACCTAGAGTAAACAAATATCAACTTGTGACCGAAAAATATGTAAAGTCTGCACTACGTGTTATTTTAAATAGGTGAAATGATAAACAAGGGCAAAATCTACCACAATGCAGGTGTCAGCTGCCCTTCAGAATCTCAATAAAATTCGCTCTAACTCCCCTCCTTAGAAAGCTGAAATCCCACCTCCACAGATTTCTGCATGTTCCTAGCAGGGTCAAGCTCTCAAGGTCACCTTTCCCTGTCTCTAGTCTCCTGGTTTTGCTGCATTCTTGCTGGATCTTTTATCTCCCTCGGCCATCAACCAAATTCTTCAGCCCTGCCCCATTTACAGGATGTTGCTTTAACCTTCTCTCCTCTTGGGAATAAAGACAATGACCTATTTCCCATATTCTTAGGTAGAGCAATTCAGCTCACTCTTTATTCCACCTTCTTTTTCTAGATTCATCTTGACAGACACAAATGGATCATCTAAACAAAGGCTGTTTTCTCCATGAGAGGAATTCTGGAGTCAAAGGGGTGGATTTTTTTCATTTTAACTACTTCAACTACCAATGTTAAGGGACATTACACTACTATATTGTAATATGTAATCTTTTCAGAAAACAATGTTCTAATCTAAGTCAATGTATTTTACAGTAGCTCCATATTATCACTAAGTTTCTTTTTACATGTTAACTTTATATTACCATTTATGTTTTACAAACTGAACTAGAGAACCACCAAAAGGAAGACAGTAGGTGGCTCAGCTCTGTGCCCTGAGAAAGATGGCCAGTTAAACAATTAAAGATAATCAAATGATTGTTGATCCTAAACAAGTCCCTGGATAGGATGATTCTTCTGCCTATCGTTTACTTTCAGTCACGTCATTTGGAAGTGCTTTTTGCAATGGGAGCATCTGTTTTTGAGGCCTCTGTTGTAGTGATAAACCACTGGTTTGTGTGGATTCGTGGGAAAAGCATGGTTTTCAAAAACCAGAGACACAGAGATCAAATTCCAACTTTGTCAAACACTAGCTGTATGATCTAGGAAAATCACTGAACCTCTTTAAGCTTCATTTCCTAGGCAGTAATGTGAGGGGTAAGTGCTACTTCTTCAGAATAAAGGGAAATCAGTTCGGGATGAAAGCTTTGTTAATGATTTTGGAGAACACAGGTGATCTGATTGCTTTCTCTAAAGCATTCAGAACTTTTAAAAGCATCGTAGAATGGTTCCTTTCTGTTTGGCTTCCATCTCAGTCCAGTACTGTAGTGGCTTTGTCTTAATCTCCGTCAGATGGGGAGTAATAAACACTGAGGCAGAAGAGAAAAAAAGAGGAGAAAAGTAACTGCTAGGAGCAGCTCGTTGCTAGAAATCTAAAGCAACAAAGATTTCATTCTTAGTGGACATTCCAGTTCACTAGGAACTTGTAAGTGGACATGCCAAGTTAGTAAGCTCCAGACCTCTACCCGGCAGGTGGCTTCATCACGTGGTTGCTGCCTCCAGGGGCAACGAACAGACACTCTCTATGTACTCACTCCAGCATCGCACTCGTTCTCCCTCAAGCAAACCTTAAGCCCTTGACACTCCCCTAACTGGGATCCCAGCATGATGAATTCCTTCCAATAGGATCCTTTGGGCTATTCCCAGCCTAAAAACCTTCCGTCACGAGTGAATCCAAGGATCTGCCCTCTCCAGTTCTCTGCTGAGCAACACCAAAAAATAGGACAGAAATTTGCAAACCGGGCTCCCACAATACTGTGGTTTCCAACCTTAGTATGGGCTCCGACACAATTTTTTTTAACATGCCGGTTTCCTCTGTTTTCTCTCGGGGCTTTTTCCAAGGCCACTCACCTCAGACCCTCTACCTAGTCCTGACACTGCACAGCCTCGACAGACAACCCTGTCTCTCCCTTGACTCCATTGACAAGGAACCTCCTCAGGTTCCTGCCTCTCACCTGTGAGCTCGCCCAGGTCCACATCCAGCATTGGCTCCTGCCCTCCGGGCTTGGAAGCTGAGGAGTCTCTCCTTCTTCCATCCAAGACTGAACCCCTTCCCAACTCCCTTCTGCCTGTTTGGGACCCTGTGTCTGTTGTCAATAAGGTATCCCCCCGACTTATCACCATTCCTGGTACCTAAGAGGTGCGCTCAGCATTTACCAACCAGAGGATGCCCCCTTTCCCTTCACCTTCAATATCACTCTCTCCTTTCCCTTATCTATAAATTTGCTTAATGCACTCGCACCCTTAAACCAAAAGTTCTCTCCTCTGAGCCTGCATTTCCTCCTGTAGCTACTCTCTTTTCTCTCAGCCATACTTCCTTCTTTTTCTTTCCTTCCTACCCTCGTTTTTTCTTCTTAAAGCCAAAATGCTATTTATTAATTTATAATGAAAAAAATGGCTGTCCCATGGACTGAGGACATGTGTACCTGGAAAGAGCACACTCTTTCCCTGCAGGCAGGAGCAGAATAATTGGAGAGTTCTCTGGTAAGCTCAGATTCAGGGAGTGAAGTTTACATGACATCCCACTTCTTCCAATAGCCTCTACCTGCATTTTCACTTCCTCACTTTCCCTTCCCACCTTCACCCACTGCATTCTAGCCTCCACCTTCTTCCACTGCCCTGAAACTGCTTTCACTGCCATTACCAAGTAGTTCCGGATTGAAAAATACAGAGGGAATATACGGCCCTTGGTGTCACTGTAGTATTGGACATCTCTCACCACGCCCTGCTGCTTTGGTCTTGGTTCCTGTAACACTCCTCCTCCTCTGACCTTGCCTCCCACATCCTCAGGCTCCTCCCCTAGTTCCCCCTCCTCCTCCTCCTCCACACCCTCATTAGTGTTTCCCAACCTTCTGCCTTTGGTCCCTTTCGGAACCATCTCTCGCCCATCTGTTTCCTCACATTCTCCACCGCCTCCTCATCAGATTGCACCTGATTTGCAGAGAGAACCTCCTCACTTACCTTCCTCCGAGTCTGGGGGGAGGAGGTGAGGAAAGAGAAGTCACAGCCAGTGAAGGACTGGCAAGACAGCAGCAGGAGGGTGTAGAGAAGTCTTGGGGAGCTGAGTGTATACAAATACAAAGCCCTTCCCTCCACTGGCCTCCTCCCACTGGGCTCAGCTGCTCAGGTACAGGCACAGACAGAGTGGACTGTTGGGTGTGTCCAACATTGTGTGCTTGCCAGAGGGCAAGAGAATTACTGAAATGATTGGACCATGAAGCCCAAGCATGAAGACAGGGAGGGGGTAATGGGTAAGTAGGAAGTAGCCAACAGACCTGAGGCCAAGTTGGCGGAAGGTGCTACAAACTTTGGTGAAACTTCTCATGTCCCTGCACTAATTACCCCCTGCTTTGTACTCCTTCTGTGCCTTGGAAAGATTTCCATCATCACAATATCATAAGCTATACTATAATTATCTGTTAAAAGACTGTTCCCTCTACTGTACTGTGAGCCCCAGCACAGGACTCATGTCTTACTCTACCTTGTCGCGTTAGCACAAGCCCCGAACAAGACTTAACGAAGTTAGGAAGCTTGCTCAGCACCTCCTCGTTGGTAAGAAGTCGAGCAAGTTTCACATGACTGCGTGATCATAGTCTGTAAATCTCAGTGCACCATAATCCAGCCTCCGCCATGCCCTCTGTGAGTTCCCAATACTTTGTATATAATATTTTAGATGCAAGTAAAATAATATTTGTGCAGATAGAGTAAAGCTAAAGCTATGGCATTTTAAAAATGTTAATGAGATTTTTACATTGTTCTAATTTTAATGAATACTAGAACAGCCAAAGTCCTTTTAGTAGGTTTGAATAAATTAAAGTTATTTAAAATGGGGCAATGCAAGCTTCAACTAAATGTAATCAAGATGAAAATAAATATATCTTCTAGGGGGTTAAAGAAGCTTTAATAAATGTTCTTTCATTAATGAAATATTGGAAAAACTCTTTGATTGTCAGCTCCTAGAGGGCAGGAAGTATGTTTGCCGAATTAATCTTACTTATCTCTAAGTCAGCACTAGACTTCATAAGGACATAGCATTCACCAGGAGAATCAAGAAAGCGCTAAATACCGCTTTTGAGTAAAGGCAGTAGCATTTGTCTTGTTTTTATAGTTTTAAAGCACTAATTTTGTAGTTAGCTTCCCATTATCTTGCTGCCATTGACAAAAGTGAAAAGGTAAGTTGTTCTGCAAGATGAGCTCAGGATTAACTTTAACCCACAAAAAAGGATCTTTTTAGTAGTCCAGAAACAACATCTTACAATGGAGAGCACACCTTTTAAAGCCCAACTGCAGGATACTGAATGCTTATTTTACTTCAGTATTGTGAATTTCAAGGAGAAATGATGTGGAGCGTTTATGAATTGAGCGACTATGTCAAATGCTACAGGAGCCTGTAAACTTTGACTCTCTCTAACATCTTAAATTAAATGCTAATGGGCATTTCCATGCAGCCTGATTTTCTGAATTCATCTCTGCTTGTCCCACTTTACAAACCATGGACAGGTTTCAGAGCGTCCTGACTCCAAAATGGACAGAGAAAGGGGAGGGTGCACGGGGAGGGAGGGAGCACACTGGAAATGTTAAGTCTCTAAAGAAACATTCATTTTGTGTTCTATGGAAGGGAAATAAGTCCCTAAAACCCACATTTTATAATCCTTACTAACTCCACCTCAGGCAAAGCTGCCAAAACGGCAAAAGGATGCCAATGACCCAATGCCCCACCAATTAAGTTGGAAATACTGAATTAGTTGGTAAAGGATAAGAAATAGCCTCAAACACTTTCAAATCAGGGTAACACTTCTAAATCAGTGATAGTCAGGTGAAATATACCTGTCTTTTTTTTTAAGGGGCCCATTAGCAAATCTAGTCACCCCTCCCTATCCATGGTTAGATTCACAATTGATTTATTATAAGCTGGGCCTGAGGAAAGAGGCAGAGGACTGAAGGATTAGAAATGTCACTGGTGATTTCCTCTTCTTTCCAATTAAAGGTATTGTACTGTACACAGGGAAGTGAGTTTTTCATCTCAAGTACACAGTAGGGAGAAACAAACCTGAGAAAATTGAGATTGTTTTCATTAAGTATGGTTAACACAGGCAGCATATATTAGTGCAAAAGAAGAACAAAGAAAATGTATTTCCTTTCACAGTAGGGGAAAACAAAGTGACATAGCAATAAGATCTGTAATAAGTTGATACATTTAATAAAATGGAAAAGGAAATATACAGACCCGCACTGAAAGAGAAGTCAGCTTGATACCAGGATGATAGATTCAGTCAGTCTAAGATAGGCTTCTGTGCTTTCTTAAGGCCTCACTAAAGAAGGTATTAAGTAGTCATATCTTTAAGATTATGTAAGGGAAACTCCAGCATATTTCAAAAGGCTACTTTTATAGCCAAAAAATAGGAAATATTTATCAAAATATTTATGAGAAATTCAAACAAAATTTAGAAAAAGCAATGCAAAATTTCAGAATGCAGTACATTAACAATATATGAAAACTAAATGAGTCAATGGAAGGAATGTAAATTAGGAGAAAATACAAATTACATTGATTTCATAAATCCATCATTGTTTTGTTATCCAAGTGCAGATCTGTCCACTTTATTGGCAAAGACTTATTTGTAGCCAAGTCTGAAGTTTATCCAGCAAAGCTAACAGGATATAGTCCTAGTGGTTATTTTTTTTAACTATTGAAATATATACTTAAAGGGAATAAGTCACCAGATAAATGAGGCTCTTGTTTACATATATATCTATATATGCTAACATATACACTCACATCTATTGTGTATTTGGTATATAGGACCAGTAATTATAGGGTCCACCTCATTTATCCTCTTCCTTTGTCCTAATCTTAACTTTATTCACTAATGCTCAAGCACTTAAACCCTGACATGAGCTAGGTTTCTTCAATGAAAATCAAGAAATTGCCAATAACTGATCCACCCAGAGAAGCCGAGACGGTGGCTGTCTCCCTTGTTATTGAGAACAGCAAAAGGAAAAAATGGGCAGAGTCCAAACAAATTTAGTTTAAATGCAAGGGAAAATTTTGTCAGAGCAGATGTTAAACAGCTAACAAGATAAACAAGACTGTTGAGGGAAGCTGAGAAGCCTTCACAGGTGTACTTAAAAGTGATTGTTTCTTCTAAGTACAAACATCTCAAAGCTGCTTGTAGTATTTAAGTTATTTGACTTTCCTCTTTGTCCTTGACATAGAAATTCAACAAGTTCCATCTGGGTTACAAAATGAATATCCTCCAACTAAGAGAAGATGCAACTTTTCTTCCCTGATAGGCAAACCTTTCCAAGGAGAACATTTTAGGTCTTTTCAATAGGATTGGAAACACAGGTTGATAATGTTAGTTGACTGAATATAGCCCTCACAGACTCTTCCTGTTCAAGTGAAAAGGCAGTCATGAGGGGTTTGAAGGAGTACGCGGTGGTGGATGAAAGAAGACTGGCAAGGAGTGGATTACTGCTGAAGCTGGGTTTTGGGGATGTGGGTTTCATTACAATAGCTTCACTGCTTTTTCCATAATCAAAAGGCTTTTAAAAAAAAACAAAAGGAAAAAAATAATCTAACATAATTGGTGCCCCCAAATAATCAGGAAGAACACAAGAGTAAATAGGAATGAATGATCAGGATGGCATGCATAACTGCAATTCAGAGATAACACAAAAACATTATTTTAACCAATAACTTAAATTCCTTCCCTCAGTGCCCAGCATGGCTCTTACCTTGATCTATGCCCATTGCTATACCCATCAAAATGGAGTTACGGGGATTTTATTTCACCTGCCCTGTCTTTGATGGAAGCCTCCTAGTCAGGCAGCCCAGGGTGAAAGAAAAAGCCTAGGACCTGGATAAACCACAAGGTGTGCAACACCATCCACGAATATCAAAAGCTGACAATCTCAACAATAGAAAGTCTGGTAGAAAAAGAGATGTGACGGGCCATTAATTTCCATCTTGAATTTTTACTCCACTAATCACTCAGAAAGTCACAGAAAGGTCAATTACTTCCCATTACATTGCTCTCTATAGAGTACGCGCTCAATACATGAATGTTAATTAGCTAAAATGGCATCCTTGGCTCATTCACTCAATTACACATGGCCACACTACCAAAGCTTGACTTTTAAATTTATGCCACAATGAAAGTGTTTTTCCATAAATCCAACGTATGAGGCATGTTCTACCTGATATCCAAAGAAGACCATCCGCCACATAGCCAGCGTGACATGAAAGGGATCGGTCAAAGGACTGCACAAAAGTCCATTTGTTCTTCTTGGGGCAATATCGCTCAACGGTAGGCAGAACCTGGCGCAGTTCATTTCTGCCCCCTACTGCATAGAGGTATTCATCCATGGCACCCAGCACGAAATGCTCCCGGCAGTTTTTCATGGGTGCTATCTCTGCCCAGGAATTACTGCGGGGGTCATAGCGACAGGCAGTCCTCACGGCACATGTCCGGCCACTGGCGTGCTCCACTTCCCCTCCTGCTACAAACAGGAAATCCCCCATGACTGCCACACAATGGTGGCTCCTTCCCACGGGCATGGGAGCCAGCTCACTCCAGTTGGCAATGGCAGCTATGAGAGCATTCTCCTGATCAACAGGATTGAAGTACCGAAGTTCCTTGACTTTACAGACCTCACGCTTTTTCCCACCAATGATATACAGAGTGTCTGACTGGAACCGTGGTTTGGTCCTGCGAGTCTGCCACACGGGCTGTGCATAGATGCTCTGGTGGTATTCCAGGGCCTCATTGACAAGAGCTGTTGCGGTCTCACTTGCCTGGACAAGGGGGTGGGACAGGGCAACTGTATGGAGAGTATCCACGTCCATCAGGCCAAAGCGGATATACTGCAGGAGTTCATCCATGTACTGGTAATGGCAGTTGTGTTCCAACCACCTCACGGCTAGCTGAAACAGAGGGAGGCGAGATGAGAATACAAAGGTAAGAAAGAGAGCCAAAGCCACAGCATAGAGGCAGGTTACTGTGTATTATTTCAGACACATAATACAATTTTTTTATTACAAACTGTGTAATACTGGAATATTTTGATATGCAGTTGAGGATTTTTTTTCTGTAACAGCAGAGACACAAACGAACTCAAGACACTGTTGTAGGACTTAGCAACAATGTTAAGCAACACTGACGGAGACTTAAGGTATTACTTAGAGTGAATAATAACATTCACTTTTCAAAGAACGAGAATGCTGTTGTGAAACAGCCTGTTCCCTTATGCTTCATACATAAGAGGTCTGATACACCCCACCACCAGGAAATGTCAACAGTGAGTGGTGTCATCACAACTCAAGCAATATATGTCAACCCATGAGTCAAGGTGCTGTATCAATACAAGTAATGCAAGAAAATCTGTGATCATCTGAGACCACAGGGTGTACTTGAGAGAAAATCAATATGACACTAGTAGAATGATTTAGAAAGAAAAAAGATTTTTTTTTCCTGCCCCTTTGGTAGGTATATCAGTCAGGAAGCAAGAGAAGAACAAGAAAGACTGCAAACCTATCAATTTTATTTTATTTTTTTCTCAGTTAGGTTTCATCTTGAAGACAGTTGTTTGCACCTGTAAGATATTGGCAATTTGTTAGAACCATTTCACAAAAACAGGATGCAGAGGTGATTATCTTTCTATTGTGGACACAATAGCAGAAAGTGCTCCTAACCTTTGTGATTAAGTCTAGATCTCTTTCAAGAAGAAGAAGAAGAATAACTTTTGGCTATAGACAGGTGCATTAGGTAACAAATAACAAAATTGCACAATAATTTAGAAAATAGCATCGACAAAGAAACAATTCACGTTATGGAGCCCCAAAAGTAATTTAATTAATGTGACAATAGTCAAGTTCAGCAAACTTTCCCACACACCGGCATAAAGAAGTATATCTAACATCTCCAGTCAACATATTTGCTATGCATTATTCTTAGCAGTACTTATATTAAATGAGATCTCCTAGACAATATAAATGTGGATCTGAAGGTATTATATGAAAAGGTAAAGTAATGAATTAGAATACTGAATAATTGTGTTTTGTTGTACTTGCTTTCTGACCAATGGAACTGGGCTTCTGGGCTTCCTTTTCCAGCTGATGCATATCATGAGAAAAACCACCTACAGGGGGAGGGAGAAGGCGGCGCAGTGCTCTCGGACCCTTACCCTGGGCAAACACGAGCTGAGTTTTCATCCTGGTGAAAAGGATTACTGAGCTCTCTGAGGCACCAGATGATTTCAGACTTTCAGAGTTTCTGTATCCTTTTGACAAAGGGTTCCCAAAGGCAAGGCATATTTTGGACTTGACTTTTTAGGTTTCTGGATGACAAGAATGTAGGAAGTGAATTGCATCTTAGTGAATTACATAGTGAAGAGAAATGAAAAAAGAACATCCCTGGGTGCCAGGCAACCTACCAATGCCAAGAGGGCAGACACCATGGTGGGCAATGAGGGATACTCCCTAGCTGTTTTTCTAGAAACTGGCAATTTTAATGTAAATAAGATACCAACCTGATGGAAAAAATTTATCCGGGTATGGTAACATCAGCAATAATCAAAGATATTGCAGAAGAAAAACGTCACTTATCAATCACCAGGTTTCTGCCACAAGTGGAGAGAGTTGCCACAGGCAACATCCTGGTTTTTCTCCACCCTAATTTTAGAAGTTTCAAGGGATGGGGTTCCAATTATTTCCCTGGGGAGATTATGCAACAGCTTAATAAATAACTTTCCATTCTTTGCCCACAGAGCTTTCAAAAGTTCTCAGGGATAAATAAAGTCATCCCACTCAAGGTCATTTCTCATGCACCAGATAAAGTTTTCTCAAAGTTAACCTTTGATATTGCTCCTAATTTAATCGAGTAATTCCAGCTGATACTGCTTTGCTCTGTAACAAATTCCTCAGTGTCCTTACATCCTAATGTTTCTGCATCTTTCTTATAGATACTACAGGAAACAGCACTCAAGAAACATAAATACACAGCCACTTTTTATAGCATAGTGCTGCCCATTTAATAATTTTTCTCTTTCCTCATAAATCAGTTCTTCCTATGCCATAATCAATCTTCTAACCCATCTCTTAACACTCTCCGACTTACATTTATCTTTCTAGCAAACAGTGTCACTACTGCATGAGAGGTACACAAGCCACAACTAGGCTCTGTCTTTAAGAAAACCTCTATAACGAACTCAACTGGCAGTGAAACAGTGACCACTGTGACCTATCACTGATCAATTTCTGGCTTTCTGTCTACTATCAGCCCTATGTCACGTGTATCATGATGCTTTCCATGTTCACTTTCCCCAAATACTATGTATTACAGAATACTTTGTGCCCACACATTTAGTTTGCATTTTCAGGGATAATTTTTTTCTTATTTCTTGCCAATATTTCTAACTTTTCACAAATTTCATATAATTTTCACACCTTTATCTAAATATTTTCAGACTACACAAGTCATTCATACTTGTTGACTTTATCTTTTCTCCAGATCAAAGGTAAATACAATTTACAATTAACTATTCTGCCACCAACTTCAAACCAATCTCACCTGGATATAGTGCTATTTATAGATTTAAATCCACTGCTTCTCAGACCTAACACACACATGAATCCCCTCGGGTTTCTGGTAAAAATGCAGATTCTGATTCAATAGACGGGGGGAGGAGGATTGGGAGTCTGCATTTCTAACAGTCTCCCAGGTGGTGCATATGCTGCTGGTCCATGGACCACACACTTGAGTAGGAAGGTTTTAGATAGATTCCCATTTGCGAAACAGCAAATTGCTGCCTCATTAAAGTAAATTAAATGTGTTGTTTCAAACTTAAGAAGGTTTAAATTAAATGAAGTCTAGGTAGGATGCCTTAGTAAAGACACAGGATATTTGTAGATTAATATTATGGGTAAGACAGCATATTGTGAGACCTTGGTTCTATAAATCAACAGCTGATTCTGATAGCATACAGTGAGTTGTATAAACAGTCTGTGCACTTTTGCAATAATAATAAATAAATGTAAAAGCGTTACTGTACTCTGTTTTCAGTTTTGTGAAAACATCAAAGAGACAAACCACTAAAACCATGGATAGCTCTTGTTTATCCAAATAATGAAAGAAATGGCAATGAAAATTCAAAATCACTTCTACACTGTGAAGCCTGCCAAGGCACTATTCACTGCTGTGCTGAATTAAAGGCAAGGTGGTAGAGGGGATCCTAGAACAGGGGCGTTAGAGACTGCAGTAGGCAGAAGGCTAATTCATAATTGGGACATCACGGAACCCAAAGGCCACAGTTAGCTTAGTAGTATATTTTGGCGCCCATGTTTGAAAATGGTTATTCTGGCTACTGGTGGCTTTCAATGACACCACACTGAGAAAGCATAACTCATAGAAGGCTGAAATCCTATTTTATCTTACTTATTCTTGCATACTGACATCCCCATCACCCTAAACTCTAGCATATTTTAATTGGGAGGAAAATGGAGCATATAGTGAAAGTCTTTTTTAGTGACAAAGCCAGCAAGAGTGGAAAAGAAATCAAAGATTCAGTTTGGGAGAACATAACAAAGACTACTTAAAAAACATGGTGATTGGGCAAGGGGCCAGCCTGGAGGCACAATTGTTAAATTCACACGTTCCGCTTCGCGGCCCGGGATTCACCAGTTCGGATCTGTGATGAGGACCTATGCACCGCCTGTCAAGCCATGCTGTGGCAGGCGTCCTACATATAAAGTAGAGGAACATGGACAAAGATGTTAGCTCAGGGCCAGTCTTCCTCAGCAAAAAGAGGAGGATAGGCAGCAGATGTTAGCTCAGGGCTAATCTTCCTCAAAAAAAAAAGCAAACAAAAAAACAAACATGGTCATTGGGCAAGATGTTTCCTAAACCATCTGAAACACAGGGATTGTCATCTCCAAAGACTACAGGAGATCCCCAAGCACCCTGCCTGACCCAATCTAGTTCATCTTACTCTGATGGAGAATTGTTCCTTCGTAAAAGGAGCATTTGCTACAGCTTATTCCAACGTCAACTCATCTCATCCTCAGATCCTTGACAATAACTGTGCCTGGCACATAGTAGGCTACTAATATTTGTTGCATAAATGGCAAATTCTTTATAATTACAGTCAGGCATCACTTGACGGGAATATGTTCTGAG